GTATAGTTGTAAGAAAAGTGTCCCTCCCAGCAAAATGGAGTTCCAGGGACGTACATGAATGTACATTGTATATATATTAAAAGGATCAAGTCCTTTGCTGGATTTCGTTAGCCAATTTTAATTAATTATATTTCTAATACTATGATATATTTCAGTACAAAACCTCAAATTATCTATCAAAAAATTATTCAAAATTTGATGTTAGCACTGATTAACTGTTAGCTCCTTATCGTAGTACATACCTCCCAGGTAGTGCACAAAACAAAAAATATAAAGATGCAAAGATCTGTTGATCGAGTTACCTTATGGGAAAATCATGTACGACATGTGTCTTTTATAGTTTAAGTGATATCAATATTATCATTGCAAAATTAAAAAAAAAATACATATATATAATACGCATACCTTCACTGGCACATTGTTCAGTATATGGTGTTCGTAAGTCCAACAATGATCATTTCAGTACAGTCTCTTTCCTAACAACGTTCGACTTCCACTTCCCAAAAAGAATTTTCATATCTTTCGGAAGATATTTCATTATATCATTAATAATAATTATGCATAATTCTTACGATTCATATTGTACCTAACTATAAAATAATTGGAGGGTCACTTTGACAGGGACTTGTGTTACGGTGTACTAGCCTATCCCGTTGTTGTTAAAACAACATGTCTGTGCTTTGGGGGGTAGGCCTATTGTCTCACCTGACGAAACTTGAAGTCGCATATCCCCCGTGTTTTTATAACCATCGTTTCTTATCCAGTTAAAGACCAACGATTATTTCATTCTACTTGATATTACCCCGGGGCGGGGTTAACACTGGTTAAGGAAGATGTGCATTAATTGGCAAAATCAAACCAAAGTCAATCGAGTTGAACATTTTAAGCAATAAAACACCCCCTCCCCAAAAAAGGAAAAGATTATAAATGGTGTTGTTGTATTTTTGGTGGGTGGGGTATAGCAAAATTATGCTGATATATGTCAAATAGTTTAAAAAGTACTGATGTTGTAGACTTTCCTCCCGCATTAATATTTTTTCCCGGAAAAACGAGCTTGGGTTTAAAGACCCCTCCCCTTTTGGAAAATGAGCCTAGCATAGGTTTATTTCCGGAATTTTTTTTTTAAATATTGTTTATTTCATTCCCTACATTTTGTAGTTTTCATTTCTGACGTTTTAAAATTTTCATCTCTGACATTTATCATCATAAAGTACTTTTCCGGCAATGAAAACAAAATTGAAATTTCCCTTATAAAAAAATTAAAGAATAAATCAAGAATAATTCATTGATTTCCAGATAATAAGTTCTGCTTATATTTAAAAGAATCTTATGACGATTTTGTCCTCGGACACATGTAAGTGTAAGTTGTGAATTTTTGTTCATCTTTTCAAATCAAGATAATCAGACTGAATTTGAGATCAGGAAGGTTTAGATAGAATTTATGACATACAGAAACTATGTTTGACGGAATAAAGTAATCAAAGTTGAGGAGATTCTGTTTTTCGGGGCTTTCAAACACATATAATTCAGTGGGCATTAAAATTTGGTGATCAAAAATTGCATGTTTTATTATTGAAATTATTGCATTTTATTACTAAACTTCGTATTTTTACTAGATTTAGTGTTGATTGTATTGTAAAATGAAAACAAAAAATGTCGGAAATGCAATGCAAAATTTCGGAAATGACATGCAGCGAGCTTGGAAGAAACAACCCCGGCTTTATTATCCACCATAGGAAATACTCAGTACGCTTCAGTACAGAATTTTCTCCTTTTCCACCTTCTTACTAGGGAGAATCTTATCCACCCATACTGTTTACAGAGGGGTTTTACAGAGCAACTTGACATGTATTTCCCCCTAAAATAAAAAGGAAAGTGTTTGTTGAGATCGTGACTGATATAAAAATTCATAAAACACCACCAAGTCGTGTTCTTTTGTTAATATTTTTTATATTTATTTTGATTTTGGTTTAAATTAGATTTTTTTACGACTTTAAGCGGCTATTTCTTTTTTATTTATGTGTGTGTGATGGGGGGGGGGGGGGTTATTGCAGCCCGGAGAACCGGGCTGCTCTGTACATATAAGTTTAAGTGTTGGTATATGGGGATTTAGGTGGGAGAAGTTATTCAGAATTAAAGGTTTTCTAAACATTAAAAAGATTGTTAATCAGAATGTTCTTTCCCTTTATAAATTACGAGATACACAATATATTTACTTCCATAAAGTGAATCTGTAAAAATATATATGTTTTTTCATATTTAATAAATAAAGTTGCTTATAATTTACTATCGAAAAAACGACAGGTCCCTTTTTTTTTTAGAACATCGAATTTTACTTATCGCATAAAAACGTAAAAATGTACTTTACACAGTTCGTGTTTTATATTCTTAAAGTGAAAGACATTTTTTAAAATAGGTGATGCATGTGTCTGGTTTCAAATTATATTTTATGCAGCCAACATTTACTTGAGGAATTGATAAAGTTTAAAAGGGTATCGTTTTTGTTCGATTTTCATCCGACTACAAGTTTTCAAAATTTTCTCGACTATCGTCTCCATCATTTAGACGCATGCCTTTTTCACATATATCGAAGCGGTTTGATGATCAAGACTCATTTCCATTGTTTACTTTATTTATTTCCCGGGCGACAATTGATGGTTACATCAATGTTTTCTTGTAGTTCTCTTGTTGCACGTCATCAACATTACTAATTAAATGGTAATATATATCCTTGGTCCCTTCAGACAGATGTTTATGGTTGCATATAGATATACAATACAGTAGACACATCTCCTGCAAACGTACATAGAGAGGATAATAAACACAACAGCTAGGGTAAATCCTTAATCTTTCTTCATATGATGTAAACAAACTCTCTTTAATTTTATGTGTTTAAGTCAAGATTAAAACATTTTGCACCACCCGGACCTATAAACTTCGGCGGACCTTTTCTTATACGGGCCGGACCTTTTCTTATAAAAGGCGGACCTTATATGATATCGTATTAGGTCCCCCCGGACCTTTAAACGAGGCGGACCTAATATTATGCGACACCGGCCTATTTGGGGTTGCGTTACAAAGTGCACATGGAGAAATGAGAAGTTTTATTACTCCGATAAAATTATTTGTCAATGATAAGATGAATAAAATAATGAGTAAAAATTTTTAAAACTTGCTCTTTACTAAAAGTTAATTAATGCTGTGATGTTCAATCTAAAGTAAAAACTTCTTTGAATGTGCTACAGCTACACTGTGCATTTATTGAGTGTAGTCCATTATCGCACCGTGCAGTTCGACCATCGGCATCATCACGTGACAAAGATCCAGGGTATCAGCAAGTGGTTCGGGATCATTTTGGTGACAATACATTTGTATCATTTTAATATATTAATATTACTGTGTATCGATGAATCAGTTTCACTATTAAATGCCGAATATTCATTGTGATGAAATGCACATTAAGCTTTTTAAAGTATACATCAAAATGCTGGGAGCGTTTTATTTGCTACACCTTGTACACTATAATATACCATCAATACAGTTAGTATATAGGTCCCTGGTTGAACTCTTGGATATTAAGCTTTTTTTTTTTTTTTTTTTGATTGGCTTCAAAAATGTTCATTTTGTCGGACCCGATAACCAGACAGCATTCTGTCCAAGAACTCAGTCAATAAACGTGTTATTATACCTTTTAAAAACTCTTGCCCTGGCGTCCATGTTTGAGATGCTCCGGGTTGCAGATGCCAAATTTTTGATGTAAATTTCATTTACCCGCAATGCGTTTTTTACTCGGTCAATTCCGTAACTGTCGAAAAGTAACGAAAGAAATTTGACATTAACACGATGTTCTTCTCATAGTCTGCAGTTTACTTAGATCCTTGTATATACATGTATGTAGTCAAAAGAATGATATAATTTACTGTTGCTTTTTAGGTCTATTTGATGTTTTAGTCACTTAAGTTCACCGAGGTCGAAGGGCGAGGTGGATACCGTACTTCGAGGGTTAATTAATAGGACTTGAAGCAACCATGATATCTTTCCTTACATTTGTTGAAGTCAGGGTTTAAAAAATATAACCAGTTGTGTTAATTTAAATTTTTTGTATCCTGTTTTGGTGCGTTATAGAAAAAATACAAATAAATAACATCTATATTGAAAAACGGGGAGGGGGGCTTCCTTAACACATTTGACATAACACCCCCCCCCCCCTCAAAAAGAGAACTCTCCAAACTCCAAAATCTTATTACGAAAGGGGGTAGGATCAATAAATATGGGGGCGATTTTATTGCTCTGGATAAAAAAGAGAGGACAGCTTTTCAATGAATATTTTCATACCAAATTAAAAGTAAAAATTTACTTTCAGAAATAAGATGGAGGACACATCCCCATACTACCTGTCTGAGTGTTTATGTTCACCTGGAAGTTGGATGGAGATAAATAACTCTTCGTTACTGGTTGTATCAGTCCAGAAGTTCTCAATCTATTTTTAGTCAAACATAGAAAAAACAATATCTTATATTCACCTGGAAAGTCGCATGGACAATGTTGGATCTCTGTCAGAGAGCTAGGAATTATTGAGACATATACCAGTAATAAAACCATTGCCCTATTACATGTTTGATGTTTTATATATAGTCTGTTACGTTGTACTTAGTGAACGTTGGCTAAAAGCAATTCTTTTTCTTATCTCATTTCAAAGACCCCCCCCCCCCTTTTCAAAAAAAAAAAAACAAAAACAAAAACAAAAACAAAGCAAACAAACGGAAAAAAAACATAGGATATTATTTCATGATTACTGAACCATATAATTTCTAGTATATTTTGCGCTATTATGTACATGTTAATAGATTTTTTGGGGGGCGTGGCATTTTTTTTTCTGATTTTGGAAAATCAAAAAAAAAACTTGTTGTATTACACTGTACCTGCATAGCAGAAGGGACACTTAGGGATCACTTCACCCGGCATCTTTCTGTCTGTCTAGTACATGTACAATCAAATAGTTAAATTTTCACCTTTTTTAATGATGCTATGAAGCATGTGACACATACATTTCTTGGAACACTTAAATTTAAAATATCTGTGATAAAGTTACTCTTAAGACAAGGACTAATCTAGGTCATATCTAATTTACTGCCGATTGCTAATATTTTTCCCAAGGGACCCCCTTTAAATAACTCGTCTTTTAACTTTTAATGAGTCAAATACCTTCCAACTCCCTTTAACAGAGTTGTAGATAAAAAAAATATTTTCAATTACATTTACCCTTGCTTTAATTGATACATGTTTACTACTATTAATTCAGATTTGTAAAAAGTGATATTTTGCAAACTTTTAACAAACAGAAAGGTTTACATATAACATATCGTTGAAAAATTAGAGCTTTCGATGCCATGCCAGTAATTTCATAAAATGAGTAACTAACAATTTTCTTGTTCAAAACTCAAATATCTCTCAAAAATATAAAGAACAGAGTAGTCAAGGTTCTTTGATATAACCAATATAGAGTAGTCTAGGATCTTTGACATAACCAGGATAGATAAGAAATTATCAGTTCAGAAAAATCAGAGTGCTTTGATATAGTCAGCACAGAGCTGCTATGCATATTTATCTGTACCAGGAGAACCTTCACTAATCTGTATATTTTAGAGCCTAATTAGCTACTCCAATATTGGTAATATCCAAGAATCATGATTTCTATACCCTGAACTATATTCATCTAAGAACCAAGACTATATATCTAAGTAGCTTGACTACACTGAACTGGTCATATCCAAGAACCTTGACTATGCTGTACTAGTAATATCTTAGAACCTTGACTTCTCTTTACTGAATATATCTAAGAACTTGACTACTGTCTACTGATTATATCTAAGAACACTGAATACTCTGTACTGGTTATATCCAAGAACCTTGACTACTCTTTACTGGTTATATCTAAGAACCTTGACATCTCCATACTAATTAAACCCAAGAACCTTGACGACTCTGTCTTGGTTAAACCCAAGAACCTTGACAACTCTGTCTTGGTTAAACCCAAGAACCTTGACAACTCTGTACTGGCTATATCTACCCTGTACTGGTGTGTAAAATATGGGAATTCATTATAAAAGATAAAAACAAGTGTTAGTTGATAAATATCTGCAAAATTCTTAAATGTGACATTCATGCAATGTTTTAAAGAGATGCATGCAAACTAAAATTTGATAAAAAGTCAAATTGATTTACAATTCTTTGCAGGGCCAACTTTTGTTTTACTCTCATTTTTCATTACTCTCATTCAAAAAACAAGCAATTACATAGAGTACTAAATAAACAAAAAGTTTATGTCCAAGGACTGAATGCAACATCAAATTAATATATAAACGAGAGACCCATGGGCCACATCGCTCACCTGAGCACTTTGGAAAAAGAAGAAATCGGTTCAGTATTGAAAAGTTTAAATATAAAAGTGGTCCCAACATATTTGATCTGCTATTGAGGCCTTGCCCTACCACCAGGAATTAATTCTACACTACCTGAGGATGCTTCCATATCAATATGAATAATAATGGATTTGCTGTTCTTGATCCCCAATTGTGGCCACACCCTACCCCCTAGGGTCATGATTTGAACAAACCTGAATCTATATCACCTGAGGATGCCTCCATATTAATATGACTAAACACAGCTGTGCTGTTCTTGAGAAGCTGTTTAAAGATTTTTTTTCTATATATTCCTATGTAAAACTTTGATCCCCCATTGTTGCCCATCCAACCCCTGGGGGTCATGATTTGAAAAAAAAACTTGAATCTACACTACCTGAGAATGCTTCCATATCAATATGGATAATAATGGCTTTGCTGTTCTTGAGAAGAAGATTTTTAAAGATTTTTTCCTTTATACTCCTATGTAAAACTTTGATCCCTCATTGTGTCCCCACCCAACCCCGGGGTCATGATTAGAACAAACTTTTATCTTCACTATGTAAAGAAGGTATCTTTTAAGTTTCAACTTTTTTGACCAAGTACTTCTTGAGAAAAAAGATTTTTTTACAATTGAACTTCCCTTCACCCAAGGATGCTTTGTGGCAAGTTTGGTTAAAATTGGCCCAGTGGTTCTGGATTAAAAGTTGAAAATTTGAAAAGTTTACAGACGGACACACAGACAGACAATGGACAAAATGTGATCAGAAAAGCTCATTTGAGCTTTCAGCTCAGGTGAGCTAAAAATACAATATTCATGAAAAACTATGCTCTCTGTAATGTAAACAATACTATGCCAAACTGTCTTGTACTGAGTTTAGATGAAAATATATATATATGCATATATTTTGTTCAAAAAACAGACTGCTTTACAGGATCAATTATCATAAGATTATGATTTATGACTGTCTTGAAACAAAATTTCACTACACTGGTTTAAATTTGTGTTCTGTAAACTTTACAAGTTTTAACATTTTACATTCAAGAGATGCATGATACATATACATAGGATAAAAGTATATGACAGTAATTATTATTGAAAATAAGTATGGTATAAGAACTGTTTGTTGATAATGTTTCTTGCACATGCATGGATTGGCTTTGGTTTGGTGTTATTTCGAGGGGTCACAATCTCGGCCCTCATTGGTGACTTCCGCATGTCAATTTGTATCATCTGAGAAAACGCATCCTTCTTTTTCTGGTCAGCAGAGAGAAGCAATATTCTGCCTCTATAGTGTGTGAACCCTAAAATGGGCAAATATGAAGGCGACAATTTGGTCAAAGGCACAAACCTACATTTATAGTCATCTTCTCTTCTTTCAATATCAAACTTGATAATGTCACCTTTGGCATTTATTATGAAGTTCAGATGTCCAAAGGATGATACAGTCACAGGCTGTTCTAAATCCAGTTGACCTATGACCTTGCATTCTCTTGTCCGGATTTCAAACACCTGAATGTCTCTGACAAATTGTCCACTCTGGTCAATTCCTCCAAAAATGAAAATTCTTTCTCCCACAACTGTGGAAGCTGCAGAATGAACAGGGCTCATCAGTTCTCCCAAAGCTCTCCATTTTTTTCCTCTGATACTATATTCTTCTATGGAACTTAAAACATTCTTTCCTTCCTTTGCTTTGGGATTTTTACCACCAATGATATAGATTGATTCTCTCACAGCTGCCATGACATGACAGGTACGTCCTCTCTTCATCAAAGCTTCACATAAGTTCCATTCATTTCTCTCTGAATCATAATGAAGCAAGTTTTTGGAATTGTTTGTCCCCCCTGCCAAATAAATGTCACTTCTGTAGGTGACCATCTGGAAGTTTAAACCTGGGTTTTTGTCCAGTGGTATTGGGGCTAAGGTGTACCAACGATTCTGGTGAAAACTGAAGGCCCACAGACACTTGCCATCCTGATAGAATGATCCAGATCTCTCCATATCATATTCTGTAATCACCATAGTTACTTCCTCAAATTCATCACTGTTGCGCAAGTGAAATCTGGTTGAGCAGTACTCTTGCTGTCGAGCTGGTAGCATGTGGTAATCTCTAGCTTCATTCAGGAATTTACTACAGTTTTCATCCTCTATCAACAAGTCTTCCCTGTACAATTCACTCAGTAAATACTCTGGACTGATGTTTATCAATCTCACATGCCGAAAAAGTTTGTCAATGTTATCTTCTCTGTTCCTTTTGTCTGCTTTAACCCAGCGCAAGACCGCCTCACAAATTTGTTCTTCATCCACAGGAACCAAATCGTCATCTTTGACAATGCTCAAAACATCATCAATATCCAGCTCATCAAATTCTTTAGTCTTCCACAGTCCGTTGAAGCCTTCCATCACATATGGTCGGCATTTCTCTAAAAGTATACTGCAGCCAAACTGCCGAGCCAGTTTGAAAATTTCAAGACAATTTTCAGTGTCCATTTCTTTGCCAAGAAATTCCTCACATGATTCTTGCAGAGCCTGCACCTATATTTCCAAAGAAAGAAAATAATGCAGCATTATCATTTAAGATTTCATATACCAATAGACCTAATAATACTACATCCTGTATATCATTTATTAATAACATGAAAACTTTTTTTTAAACAATTTATACTTTTACTTCCCAAATTTATGAGTCAGACAGAACTCATGGTTTTTCTTTTTCGACTGGATATCGCAGAATGTTAAAATCAAAGAAATAAAAGCTTTTTCCCTTTCGTTTTTTTAACTTTTTATGTTCAAATTGTAATTGAAGCTCTAAAAGTTACTGCAAAAACTAAATTAAATATTAAATGAATGCAAGCTATGAGCATTTTGACAGTGTACTTGGAATAATGCAGCTGCTCGGAGAAGTTCCACGACATTGTCCCTGCTAATATCCTCTTGTCCTGTGTATATATATGTCCTGAAAGCCTCAAAGGTAGCCTTTTGTATATCAGGTAACTCCAGCCTGTTACTGGTGGACTCTAGCATTCCAGAGCTAAACATAGACTTGAAATATGGTGAACCTTTAAGAATAAAATCACTATTGATAAAAATATTACATTAAATACACAATACGCTTGATTTTTTTTTTTTTTTGATCATTAAATTTGAAATAGTTATTCCTGAGATTAAGTGTTGTAATGTTAATTACTTTGTACTTAATTTCCAATTCTTACATGTAAAGTTCCTTAATGTTCTTAATAAATTTCATATTTAATTAAACTTGAACTGGTTACCAAAAGAGTAGTTATCTGAAACAATGGACTCTTACATTATGATATCAACAATAAAGCCATGCCTTATTTACCTGGTAAAATAAAATAAGTTAATCTTTATTTTTACAACAGGGCAAAGATTTTATTAAGAAGCACTATATGAAGGAATTAATGAACAAGTGCAAATAGTTCTTATCTATTTCTGAAAAAATACCTGCTGCAAGTAGAAGTTTGTGGCAGGGGAAGCTCTGCCCCTCCACAATGATCTCCACGTCTGAGTTTTCTCCTCCCATCCCCATCTCCATGATACCACTCATCATGCTCTCTAGGTACCGCTGACGAGCACTGTCAGACATACTGTTAAGGAAGCTCTGCCCCATGTTTGACTTGCTGCTCTTATTAGGAGGCTCGGACTTTGCCATGTTGTTTTTACTTTGTTACTTCACCATCAACCTTGAATGATTCGAAAATGTTAATAAAACAGTCCTTTACGGGTATTCCCAGTTGATTTTTACATTATCACTACAAATGCAACATTTTTTAAAATTCATGGAAAGTTTATGAGTTAAATTGTTTGTCATCATGATAAAAGAGTTAACTTTCTAATTTCTAACCTTCACTAGGGTTATTTTTAGACCACTGTTTGGATATTGAAGGTTATTACTGTACAACTGGAATCATACCCTACATATGCATAATTGTCAAATCTGTTGAACAACAACACTGTAACTATGGAAATATTCTAATTGCTTATGGTTTTTATAGGTAGAGAAACATGCATGAGAGGAGATTTCCTTCACTATTTTGAAATACTTATTACACTCCCTTCCACACCTTGTCACAACTGTGAACATACTTATTTTAATGGTACTTGTAATACATTTAATGCGTTTTGCACCGCTCCATGTCCACTTATTCATGTACATGCTAAAAAATAACTTAAACTCCTCATTTTCAAAACTCAAGTTCACTAAGTTACATTTAGTACCATTGCACTAATAGGCTGAAGATGAAAATTGCACTAAATTTTGAGTGCACTAATTTATGTAGGTTAAAAGTTTCTTCTTTTACAATATGGTCATCTATCTGTACTTTTTTTTACACATATTTCATGTCAATTTTTTGACATGACCACTTTCAAAAATTATCTTACAGCAATCAGTATATGGTGCACATTTCTCTCTCAATTTAATATATCCTACCTAAGTTTATCGCAAAGATCAAAGAGATGTGGCAGCCATTATTCTCCAATTAATCACAAATGTTATTAACAAATTATCGATAATTTTAAATTGGTTTCCTCTAATTTTGATTGCCTTCACTAGGAAAAGGATAGAAGTATCCTTTGATTGTGATGCAAATTGGTGGGAAAAAATTTACTTTAGGTTTAGATTACATCACACTTTTTCTAATCCTTAAGATACAAATGAATGAGGATAGCATTCAATTGTGACGTCATAAGACACTTATGATGACATCCAAATCTAGCGTCTGTATTTCTCTATTTATAAATTTTCTTAAATATTCACCAGTGATTCATTTCGGTCTGCGTCCTGCGTAAATCATGCATGGATATTGCTCAGGATGCATTAATTCAATAAATGTCCATCCCAATGGATGCAATAAATTTGCAATAGGACATATCATATATACTTGCCTATAATTCGGTTTTTTGGGAGTTAAACTTTCGTTCCAAACTCCTTATTTGACTTATACGCAAGTTATAAAAAGATAGGTATTTCAGCGGGTCAATCCCTCTAATTGAAGCTTTAAAAATACAACCGACTTATAGGCGGACCAACTTATAGGCGAGTATATACGGTTTATATAATTTTAAATTTTTTCTGTATAATCCAATTCAAAATTGGGTCAATTGCATCATATCCACATGCAAAGCGATATGCATGAGTGATTTCGACAGGTATAAGGTTACCAACCACAGGTCAGATTTAACACTTCACTGTTAAATTGCAGTTAACAAGCAATTATCAGAAAATATTTGAAAGTTAGATAGCATTGTTCGATTCTGAAGCACTCATACTATTATAATATGTTTGTATTTTAGCTGTATTAACATGTATCTGAGTGTATCATTTTATTTTTTTTCCTTAGAAGCTAAAAAGTATTTGATCATTCTTCTTTCAAGCTACTTTAATTTCTTTTTTTCTTTTAAATTTCTTTACTTCATTCAATAGATCTGTATATTTTATGACTGATACAATGTTTGAGATTGTAGTTATGATCTAAAAATAGAACCAATTGAAAGTGCACAGTTGACAATATATTATTTTTAATGTCACAAAATTACGTATTCTTACTTCCTATTGACAGTAATAGTATAAACAACTCACAGCTACAAAAAACTTTGCAAATTTGCAAATGTCCTCGTACCCTTGGATTTGGACGCATTGATTTTGGCATGGGACGCATTGTTGTAATTAAGAGGGGTCCTTTTGACCCATGAAAAACATTTCCAAAATGAATCACTGTATTCACCGTAGCAGAATAGAAATAATTCCCTCTTCGTCAGAATTGTTATATATAAAAGAACAAGTACATTTATATTTTTACTTTCCTTTTCTTACACATCAAATTATGATGAAAGGAAGCACAGCTAGGATAACAACCGAAAGCAAAACCAGGATATATTTTGAACTAGTTAGAATATTCTAACTGTGTCTCGGGACAGGCCCTCACCACAGTTAGAATACATCTTATATACTTGCAATGTAGCAAATCGGAGTGGATCCACTCTGAAATGATTCTGAAGAATACAAAATGAGTAGCACTGAAAATAACTACCAAATTAATCATAACAAACCTTTTTGAGATTGTATATGCCTTTTAACCTAAAAATTAATCCATATATATATACGAAAATTCAACTCATTTTCTCAACGTTTTTTCCTCGCTTCAAATTTAACGCCATGTTGACTTTCGGAACTCTCTGGATTCTTCATAGAAAATCCACAGAGTTCGAGTTATCGCCCGTGTTTATTTTGCTACATTGCGAATACACGGAACGAATTCTATCGTTAAACCGGGTCCGTAGGACAATATCATTTTAACGATAGAACATTCTATCTAATTTTGAACCTAAAGGAATATTCTTTTTGAATTCCAAAAGTTTACTCAAAGGGCCATAATGACTCTTGGTTTTCAAAATCAGCGAGAATACTGTTTGTTATCATTATATTTATAATTTCAGCATCTACTATTCGTAATTGAATGGCTTTTAATTTCACTAACGTATGTCAATTAGTGTAAATTGATTTTGTTTTACTTCCTGGATATGGTACTGCTCCCGTTACAGTAAATTTGTTGTCATATTTAAACGTACATTGTATACACACTTATTTATATACTACCGTAAAAGTATATTTAAATTCCTTGAATACCGACATAAAAAAAAAATACCTGTCATTCTGGCATCTTTTGAAAATGAAAGTAGGCCTGAACGCTTTCTTTTTAAATAATTTGTTCTAATAGATTTCGTGTTCATGATTTTAACTCAGTCACGAATAATATACGTATAAAGATATAAATTAGACAGTGTGTTAATAATATTAATGTTATGCTCTTTCTGAAATTATTCAAATTGAATTCTATTTGATTCAGATTGTTTCGTCAATTAATGTCGAATCAACAATGGTACAACTCTTCCATAATTTTTAGCGTTAACGGCACGCTGCAAGTGGCAACGTAATATATTGACGTAACAGCTGTAAAGTAAGGTACACGGCTGACGTACAGGTATACACAACACTCACTGCTTACGCTTTTTAATAACAAAATTTTGCAGATGAAAATCATAAGCAGATAGGTGTTCCCTATTTAATTTTGTAAACAATATCGATATATCCTGGTCTCAGGATGGTGTGTTTTGTGTAGTGTATGGTTTCCTTATATGACTGTCAAATAGTGAAGTACATTAATTAAAATAAAAATCTAAAATAGCTGATTCAGAAGTTAGTGGTTTAAAAAAATCTCATTTTATGTACATAAAAAAACACAAGGTTTGCCACTCACCATCTTGGATTCTAGGGGGTACCTGGATTCACACTTGATTTTAATCAATATGCCTATCTACATTTTTCTTACTGCATCTTTGCTAGCCAAGGGTTTCTGATCCACTACTCTCCTCGTAAACCCTTGGCCTATGGTGCTGTCAAAAGTTGGAAATGTTTACGTCACATCATCTTGAATATTACCACATAAGCACAGATTGCATCATTGACAGAAATAAAAAAACTCACTTAGAATAAAAGTATTTAAAGAATAATTAACAGGTAGGTATGGAGCTTTATTTCCTATGTAGCTTGTAACATGAGCTTTGGTTGGATACATAGTAGGGTGTAAATTTCTGTACACCCGACTTGAGCCGGAGGTAAAAAAAAACGTGACGTCATAATGCATAGTTTCTCTATGATAAAATGCAAATAACATGACGTCACGATGCATTGTAGGATGTAGTAAATCTTATTGATAGCTAGAAGCACAGCTGATTGGACTTGTTTACAAAGAATTTATTTAAGTACATAGGAAATAAATTTGTTATCCAGGTTCAATCAAGGGTGTACGGGGATTTACCCCGTGTTTTATTCCATACACCCTGAGGCCAAAGGGTGTAAATCCCCATCGGCCTCAGGGTGTGTGGAATAAAACCCGGGGTAAATTCCTGTACACCCTTGATTGAACCTGGATAACTAATAATGTTTATTTGTTATGTAGGTCACAAATCTATATCTGCAATATAGATTTCTGATCACACTTACCGGTATGTGTACATCTGCTTAAAGTTGGATGACACCATAATTATTTATAGAATGGCACATTATCTTATGGAACATTGTTTACTAGTGCTTTTTTATTCCCAAGACTAAAGACTTGAAGAGTCAAGATATATCCCGAACAGATATATCGTCATTAATTATTTTTATTACAAAATAATTCGCTGATTGGTCAAACAATATCAATTGACTCCAATCACAACCCATGAAAAAAATCCTGACTTTTGATAGCACCATAGGCCAAGGGTTTGTGAGGAGAGTAGCGGATCAGAAACCCTTGGCATGCTAAGATGTTTCTACTGATGTTAGGGGAGATCTCGCTTTGAAAATGATTGAGTGACTCCCATCTATCATCTGCCAATTTTCACATCCTGCTTAAAACATGCAGTGAACCAAAACAGAAGTGATGATTTCTATTTAAAATGTAGTAGAGGTGTCCCAGAATTGCATGAACAAGAGAACAAGTTTGACATGGTTTCTGTTCTCTCTAGATATTCCCTAGCAAATATAAGCCCTACTGGGATCAAATTTGCTTAAATGATGCAAAAAGGGGTGAACACTAAAAGACTTGCTTTGGATGCTGAATCTGACTTATATTCTCAAAATTTTTGGAGCCAGTCCATTCCAAAGTAACAATCAAACCTATTAGGACCAAGCTTGCATGGATGATACATCTAAGGACTGACACTACGAGACATGCCTCGGATGCTGATTCTGACCTACATTTTCCAGATAAATGACCGGGTAAAAGTTTTTGGAGCAGGTCCATTGCCAAGTAAGTTTGAATGGATGATGCATCTAGGGATAAACACCATCTGACTTGCTTTGGAATTGGATGCTGGACCTGATCTACATTTTCCACATAAATATTTGGAGCAGTTCCATTCCCAAGTAACTATAACCCTTACTTGGGCCAAACTTGCTTTGATGATGCAAGTAGAAATGAACACTACCAGACTTGCTTCAGATGCTGAATTTGACTTACCTGGGTACATTTCCCAGATGAGTGACCAAGTTAAAGTTTTTAGAGCAGATCCATTCCCAAATATCTATAAGCCCCACTGGGGCCAAACTTGCATGAATGATCCACACTACTAGTCCAAAATATCTGATGTTTTCCTGGCTTTTTTACAATTTGATATTTTACTTGCCAGGAAAACTTCAGAATCCGTGACAACCTCTGGTTGGAGGCGGTGAATTCCTAGTTTTCGTAATGGCGCCGATTCTGAAGTTTTCCTGGCACGTAAAATATCAAATCATAAAAATGCCAGGAAAACGTCAGATATTTCGAACTACCACACTACCAGACCTGCATCAAATGCTGAATCCAACCTACATTTTCCAGATAAGTGACTATTAGCCCTACCTTGACCAAACTTATGTAGGTGATGCATCTGGGAATGGACAGTATTAAACTTGCTTCGGATGCTGGATCTGACCCATCTGACCAAATTAATGTTTTTAGAGCAGATCTATTTCCAAGTAACTATAAGCTTTACCTTGACAAGACTTGCTTGAATGATGCATCAAGGGATGGATACCTCAGATGCTTGAGATGCTAGATCTGACCTACATTTTCTGGATGAGTTAAATTTGTGGAACCATTCCCAAGTAACTTTACATTATACTGAAACCAAACTTGCATGGATATTGCTTTTGAGATGCTCACTAACTAAAAAAAAAAATTGTTGTGAGATTTGCCTTATAAATGGACAAAATTTGTCAAGGTGGGCTTTGTAATCTTTGATTACCTGTGTTTTTGTGAGGGGATCAACTGATGTAACCTTTTTTTTGAATGGAAATATGAAATAATGAATAAGAAATTTCAGACATTAAAAACTGTCTAATACAACACCTCTGCAATCCGTTTCACTGTGAATTCCGACCTTTCTTTTGATTTCTACTTTGTTATTCTCTATGTTCTTCACCCTGTGCAATCTGACACTTTGTCTATTCTGACACAAAATGTCTCTCCCAATGCATTTGGGATTAGACAGATTTTATTGAATTATAAGAGGCTATAACAGAGAAAAAATTGACAATTTGCTCACATGACTGTATTGACTATTTCAAAGGAAGGAAAATTGCAATACACTGTACTTGATTGTAGAAACCAAAGACAAATATTACATTATTTTATCCTAAAGGATTATAATTATCTATCTACTGCTGCATTACATGTAAGATAGTTATCTGTCATATAGAAAGTCAATTAAATGGTCAAGCCATTTCAAGCGAACTGAATTATCACTGTGTTTTACATGTATATGAATGGACGATCATGGTATCTGAGTGGTTAGGGTGCCAGATTCAAATATATTTTTGAACATTGGAGTAGGTCTAATACAGTGGAGATTGAAATTTAAAGACCCCTGAAATTAAAGGGTATATATGCGTTAAAAATTGGCAAACATTTTTGGCCATGGTAAGGAGATTCAGATCTTTAAGATAGTAATGTTGCTGTGCTGTGTCTGCGTATTTAAACAAAAAGTTTAGTGCAACCTGTAAAAAGCATTTTATATGCATAATTTGTCTTTGGTATTCTTTAACAACATTCATCACCTGCATAACACAGTTGTAAATAAAATTTTGTTATAGAGTCATAAAGAAATGATCCTTAAGTCTAGGGTTTAAATCCCACTGTGGGACATGGAGACCAGTCCTTTGGATGAGACAGTATAAATAAAGGCCCCATTTCAAAGTAGATGCTGGCATTGAAAAAAAATCCTGCGTTACTCAATGCCTATAAGAGCCAAGTACAGGATCTAAATTTGCAGTGTTGGTGTCCTAACATGAGTGAAAATTTCTCAAAGGGATCTAAAGCAAACAACCCACCTACCAACTAATCCCACAACTACATACCCCCCCCCCAAAAAAAAAAAATGGGACAACATTTAATTTCAGTTTCCAATCCAGCCTTGCATGAAAAACAGACATTAGTGGGTATATTTACCATACATTTCACAAATTTTACTAGTATTAGGAATATATACTTACAATCTGCTATTCTAGTCTGTGTGTTAACCAGTAGGTTGGGTTGATGTAGTGCAGATGATTCCACTAGTTGTTTTGACTGATTACTTAGTTTAAGGAAGTGTAAAACTCACCCAGTTTATCATCCTTTTTCCTGTGCATAAACTAATATATTCAATTACAGTGAGCACTTCAGTATCCTTAAGCAAAGACTAGCTCTGCATATCTGTTATAATAAGATATTAAGCATGTATAAAATAGGCAAGGCTAGTCTTCCTGTTAGCACTTACAACCAAAGCAGACCAAAATTTCCCCATCCAATTCTAAGTTGCCAACCAAATTTGTATATTAAAAAAAATTCATAGTTATTTTTTAGTGGGAATATTGTTTTTGAATATGGTTTGATAAATTATTAATCATAAAATCCCTCTCAAAAATCAGACCTCAGAAGCATCCCTTTCACCCCTCCTTTCCAATTTTTTGAGAGTCCCAGATATAGCTCATTTGGTTCAATATATACACTATTTGAGATACAAATTAATCTTAAGAATCAAGATTTCCGTATGGTGTTCTTAAAATGGAATTTGTTGAGTATGTTCTGACATGACTTATACTTCCTGCATCGCTAATCTTAATCTGCCACACATTGTCAAAATAACACAGTAGAAGATCCCATAAGAAGCATTTAATGTAAACAAAAGTCAGTGCAAGCATACAATCAGATAACTAGAGGAAAAAACAACTTAACAGAATAGTGATAAGATTTAAAAGTGCTAAGTTTTATAATAAAGATGATTTACGGTAAACAAACTGAATAAAGTGGGTATTATATTCAGCCAAATACGGTAAACCTTTTCTTTGCATATGAAAGCAATCATAAAAAAAAGTATCAAGTTAATTAACTAGTTATTTAAAATCATCACTGATAATAAGTATGGTACATGTACTGTTTATCTATAATTCCCTTGTGACAGGATAGAATTAGTTTGGGAATTGTCATATTTTTAGAGCTCAGACTGACTGGTGTTTCTTTCTTGCTACTTAAATCTACAAGTGTCATTTTGGAGTAAGCATCTGGTTTCTGTTCACTGCCAGTTAACACCACCATGTTTCCTCTAAAGTTTGCTATATCTATTACAGGACGCAAGGCTTTGGACAGAGTATGATCTAGAAATTTTATCTTAACCCTTACTTCTTCATCTTTTTTGCTTTTGATTTCTACATTATGAATTTTACAATCAGATGATAGGAGGATGTTTTCACTGCCTATTTTTAGTAACTTAAATGGAGGAGAAATGTCACTTGGAATTTGGCCCACTGTTGAAGATTCTCTTCTTCTGGTGTCAAAAACTTGAATATCACTTGACCATGTTCCATCCTGCTGAAAACCTCCAAAAATGTAAATTTTCTCCCCAATTACAAAGGAAGCTGCGGAATGAACAGCAGTTGAAATTTCTCCAATGCTTTCCCATTTACGACTTCTGATGTTGTAAGACTCAACAGAACTCAGTACATGTGTCCTGCTGTCAGCCCTTGATTTGGGGTTCCTGCCTGCTACCACAAAGATGGACTCCCTGACAGCAGCCATAATGTGTCCACTTCTTCCTCTCTTCATCTGGGCCTCACACAACACCCATTCATTTCTATCACTGTCAAAATGAAGCAGGCTCTTTGAGTTATTGGTTCCTCCAGCAAGATAGAGATCATTCCGGAAAGAAACCATTCGAAAATCTGTTCCAGGATTGTCTTTTATTGGAATTGGACAGATGGTATACCACCGAGCCTGCTGGAAGCTGAAAGCCCAGAGACACTTGCCATCCTGATACATCTGAGCTGTTCTCTCCATGTCAAATTCTGTCACGATCAGGATTACTTCCTCAAGGTCATCGCTGTTGCGGAGATGGAACCTCGGGGAACAGTATTCCTGCTGTCTTGCGGGAAGCATATGGAAATTTCTGGCTTCATCCAAATATCTTTTACAGTTTGCATCTTCAGTTAAGAGATCATCAGTATATAGTTCATTGATGAGATACTCTGGACTAATCTGTATCATTCTGATGTGTTTGAAAAGTTTTCCAATGTATTGTTTTCTGTTTGCTTCATCTCCTCGTACCCAGCGTAAAACTGCTTCACATATTTCTTCTTCACTTACGGGAACTAAGTCATCATCCTTAACAATGCTCTGGAATTCATCAAATTCTAGGTCCACAAATTCTTGAGTTTTCCAGAGGCCATTGAATCCTTCCAAGACATATGGCTTGCATTTCTCAAAGAGAGTATTGCATCCAAATGCTCTGGAAATTTTAAACAGTTCCAAGCAATTTTCATTATCCATTCCAGTCCCTAGGAATTGCTCACAGCTCTTTTGCAGTTCCTCAACCTAAAAATAAATACATATAGATCTCAGTAATTCATGGAATCAATTACATTTTAGACATTGGCATAGTTTTTATTATGTCAGTTTTAAGTGCACTTAAATCTGAAATGCCGAAAAATTAAGATAGAAGATAAGTAGACCAGAATAGTATAGATCTCACCTGAAATATGGCAGCTGCCCTCAGTAATTGTACAACATTATCTTGGGTTATATTTTCTATTCCTGTGTATATGTACTCTCTGAATGCAGCAAATATTTCTTTCTCAATGTCTGGAAGCTCAAGGCGACTTCCATGTTGTTCCATCATGCCTGAGCTGAACATGGACTTGAAATATGGAGAACCTGCAAGGAGAATGATGGTCAATTGATTCACATATATTTGCAAGACATAATTAATACATGTACTACCATTATAATACCCTTATAGTTATACATTTAATTTAACTTTTAATGTGTCTTGGCAAGACATACATATTTTACCTGTATTAGAACTATTTTAACAATGAAAAAAGGAAGTTTGTTCTCTTGATCGACCGACCGATTGAAAAATAATAATTAAAAAAAAATAGACTGAAAGGTTTTTACCCTCTTCAATTTTTTTTAATAGTTCTACCAATATCAATATATGCAATCTTTCAATTTTAGGGTCAAGAAAGGTGAACTACAGAGAAGATATTTCTGTCATCGATTCTTTTGTCTAGCACTATCTGGCAAACAGCCGTCAGTGTCTCACAGATAAATAATCAAAAATGAAAGTAGAATATTTGCTAGTTCAGCGAAAGCATTATTTTTTTGCAAATTTGCATTTACATGCATGAAAGCCCTACCTGCAGACAGGAGGAGTTTGTGACAAGGAAAGCTCTGGCCCTCCACAATGATCTCAATGTCCGAGTTCTGTCCCTCCATCCCCATCTCCATGATCCCCTTCATCATGCTCTCTAGGTACCTCTGTCTGGCACTGTCTGACAAGTCCTTACCCCAACTGGAGGAAAAACTCACCCCTCCACTGGCCCCAGCCTGCTCTGCCATGCTGCCGTGAGATGAGGATGTCCTTGGTGTAAAGTCTCTTTGTCCTATAGCATTAACAGTGCAGGCTGTGCCCATAATTCATATTTAAACTACTTCCTTGTTAGTGCTATTCAGAATGCTTTACTTGAGTGACGTGTCTAATCTTGATGATCGATTTAAATTTGACCTGACAGGGCTTGTTTTGCCTCCCTTTTTTATGTTTGTAAATTAAAATTCATTAAAAAAGATTCAAAAATACTTAAAATGATTTTTCAGACTTCAAGGAATTATATTTATTATTTATAGGTTTCCTTTGAATAAGTTCCTTCCTTGAATTACTGAATAATCAATATTCAGTTTTCCAGGAAAAACTATGTGGTGGTACTACACAGAAATGGAAGTGTATATATATATATACATTTAAAATCATGTTTGTGAGTCAGATTAATGGTTACTGAAATAATTTTTATATACTAAAAATGTTACTTTCATTTAAAAATTAATCAGTGGCATACATGGTTATAGGAGTTTTATTATTATTTTTTTACAAACTTTTTAAGAGATTGAGCTTTTATTTAAGGAAGTTAAGACCAGCCATCATGAGGAAAGTTGAAGAAAGATCAAGTTTTCATTCCGATATTTCAAATGATTAGTTACAAATTAATTTTAAAAAATGTTTATAATTTTATTAAGCATATAGATAGAAATTCTCCTAGAATGGATTTTGTTTTAGCATTGTGTAAACAAGTTGTCAGCATAAACAGATTATTAATAAGAATATAAAAAAATTGGACTATGCACATTTTCCAAAAAGTCAAGTTAAATGTTGGTCAACACTTGGATAGACCAACCTTGAGGCATTTGACTTTGTGGTCATATTTGCTAGTCTAAGTCTGTCACGAATCATTAGTTCGTAAACTTTAAAGAAAATAGTAATTATGGAAAATTTATAGGATATATTTATGAAATATAATTACATTTTCAAATAAATAGGAAAAAATTTGAATCTAAGGAATAATTTCAGCCCATATATGAATTTCCAACAGGCCTGCCCCCCTCCCCCCCCCCCCCTTCCAAAAAAACACCAAACAAACAAATAAAACAAACACAACAAAGAACAATGGTATTCCATAAGTAGACACTGGAAAATTATTCATGTAGCATAGCTCTGATATATAATGAATATGCTGTACCGTTTGAATGATAAAGTCTATGTATTACTAAGTGTACACCCTCTACAATTTATCAAGATAAAGTTAATTCATAGTTTAGACTTTAAGATGATAGTTTGACCTAGCACCAAAGTCATTACATTGAGGTCAAATTTAGTGTTATAGCTCAATTACAGAAAACTTAATCAGCAGCTGGTTTTAAAAAATTATTTTTTTGCCTGTATAATACACAAGAAAAAAAAACAAATTATACTTGGTATATTGTGTTAATTTGAAAAGAAGAAAGAACTTGCCAGATCTGTGTACTTAACATCTTCACTCGACCTCAATTATAATTGTCTCATGGCTTACCAATAACTTTAATTTTTATCTTATCATTTTGACCCAGCTATAACTTGTTTTGTAGTACTCCACACATGATAACAGAGCAACTCTAAGTAAATACCGGTATTCTCCATAGATACTTACGATTTAGAATGTCTGGAAATCTCCTGTATCTAATAGACTGAGAAAAACTGCGTGGATTAGGTGAGACATAATCCTCTGACTCCTCATAATCTCGTGAGTAGCTCATCTTAATTAATCAGCCTCTTGGTCTAGACGATCTTTTTTATGACTAGTCTTGTAACTTTACCACCTGATGAAGTTAATGATATAACCAAAGTCCAGCACATATGATGTGATTTGTAGTTCAGTTATCAGCATTTTATATTTTATATCCTCTAGTGATTTGATAAAGCAAAAGCCAATGTTCAATTTGTTTGCTTTAGACTAAAGCAAGGCAATTAGTTATATTTTGAACTGGGAAGTATAAATCACTTTCATTAAGCTGTACGTACCATTGATATGAGACTCTGAGTTTTAATGGGAAATTTTTAATATAAATTTATGTTTATTATGATAGGGACTAATTTTTTATATTTTTCCAAACTGTGCAGTACATACGTAAATTGGCCAAAAGTGTAGTACCTCTTAAGTTTGAAGTGTTTCAAAGTCCTAATTATTTTGCACATTATAATGAGAAGTAAACAAGTTGAAGTCATTGTAACATGACCTTTGTGATGATGTAATACATTTGTAACAATTCTATTCAAGGTAACATAATGGTTAGTTAACCTACTGCTGACCTTATTATCCAAGATGGCAGAAAAGGAGAATACTTCAAAGAAAAGCAAAATCACTGGACCATGTCCTTTTGGAAAAGCCAACTGGCTGTCCAAATTCACTTTCTGGTATGTCCTAAGTAAACCATTTGCTACTGAATTTTCTGGTTCAACTTTTCTACTTTGGTGGCATCATCTAGACTTAACACTAACAAATTTAAGGGTCATTGTTGATCTGATAAGAGAGATAACTCTTGGATATATGACTATAAGTCTATTTTTCCTTTACAAAATTGTCAAGTTAAGTGATACTGTGTGCTGCACAGTGCATTTTAATTACAGATTTGATTTCTTTTGGAAAATCATTAGTGTTAAGGTCTGACGACACGTTGCTCAAATATCTGTTTTGTATCTCTTCGTAATATACAACAAGTTAATCATAATTATCATTGTCTTGTGATTTTTAAACTGTTTTCAAAATGTTTAAGTAGATAAAGCCACAAAAAATTGTGACATTGGCAATGCTAGTGATTTCCAATAGGATTAAATAGTAAATAGCATCCTCTGGTATTTTGCACAAATGCCTGGTGAGGTACCTTAATTTTTTGTGAGGAAACTTGTTAAAGTAGCAATACTTCAATGACAAATTCTTGGGGAAAATTATATATTATTGAGGAATGAGGAATGTGTCATCTGACCTTAAAGTAAAATTTTATATGAGTGAACAGAAGGACAGTACACCCCCCTCCCCTTTTTGATGTTTCTAGGAATTCTGGTATAATGTTTGATATAACTCTATGTATAGGTGGATGTTCCCAGTGTTCCGCTATGGCTTCAGACACCCGCTGACACAGGATCACCTCTATGATGTTCTACAGGAGGATGAATCTGGTGTGTTAGGGGATCGCATGGAAAAGTAAGGAATAGGCTATATCCAACAAGAAGTTTCTTCATACCTTTAACATCATATGAACCTAGAAAATCACAAGTGATAAAAAGATATTCAAAGTTTTTACACAGCATCTTTCTGTATATTTACTTTTTCCAGTTTAAGATGACTGTTTAAGAAACCAAAGGTGTAAAATTGGCAGGTGTGGCCATGGAAGAATCCAAAGGAGGGTTAAGGAGGTCTGGCACCCTCCTGGAACTTGCAATGTTTTAAATTCCCCTCCCAAAAAAAGTCCCTTGAACCCCTAAAATTCCCTGTGCCTGCATAAGACAAAGTTCCCCCATGAAAAAAAAAGTAATTTGGTAATTTAATTGGGAAAATAATTTGTGTCACTCATAAAGAAGTTGAAGCCCTTTCCTCCACCCCCAGCCAATGTTTGGTGACTCATAACTTTTTTAAGGAACATGTGCTATTATACTTTTTATTTTCTTTATCTTATTCACTATCTTCTTTTTCTCTTAGATCATGGGATGCCCATGTAAAGAGATGTGGGGAGAAGAACAAGAAGCCAAGTCTTTACTGGGCAGTGATTCTGGAGTTCAAATGGGAGTGGGGCATTAATGGCATATTCCTAGTAATCTCCGTGAGTCTAGTGGCATATTCCTAGTAATAATGTCTGTCTGCATATGACATATTTCTAGTAATGCTGGTGAGTCTATAGTAGTACATGTATTTTCCTTCTAATCTCTGTTAATCTAGTGACTTATTCCTGGTAATCTCTGCAAGTCTAGTGGCATATTGCTAGTAATCCCTGTGAGTCTGCAGGATATGTCTGAGAGCTAGTATCATATTCTTAGTAATCTCTGTAAGTCTAGTGGCATATTCCTAGTAATCTCCACGAGTCAAGAGGCATATTCCTAGTACTCTCTGCAAGTCTAGTGGCATATTCCTAGTAATCTCCTTGAGTCTAGTGGGATATTCCTAGTACTCTCTGCAAGTCTAGTGGCATATTCCTTGTAATCTCCATTAGTCTAGTGGCATATTCCTAGTAATCTCTGTATGTCTAGTGGCATATTCCTTGTAATCTCTGTATGTCTAGTGGCATATTCCTAGTGATCCCTATGAGACTAGCATACTAAAAATACTGCTTAATATGTTTGATGATGTGGTATTTATTTTCAACAACTACAGTGTATAGAAATACCAATTCTGTGTACTAGTACCATACATGTATATAGTATTAGCTTTATCCCTCTCATACTTCCTGTCCCTTCTTTCTTCTAGCTGTTACACTTTTAATTCCATGCATATGTAGAAATTGATTATATTTGCTTTTGTGTTCATTGCTTTTCATGTGTTTTCTTTTTCAAAGCTTAAGACCATGGTTTTTTTTTGGTAATGTGATCAATTTTTTTGAAAAGGTTTACAAGAATATGTTTTAAATCAGACCAGAAATTTTTTTTTGTTTGTAAAAATTATCCTTGATGAACAAAGTTTCAATTTTTTGCATATGTATGAACTTTATCCAAACTCCATCAAAATACATTTTTTTAGGAAGCAATTAGGATTTTACAGCCATTTCTGGCAGGGCAGATTGTGTCCTACTTCCAGCCGGGCTCCACCCTGTCCAAGACTGAGGTGTACATTTACGCTACTGTGATGGGGGTCAGCACCATGATAGAGCTTCTTGTCAATCCAAAATATTTTTTCACCTGTCACCATCTTGCTCTGAAAATGAAAGTAGCTGTCGCTAGTCTTATATACAGAAAGGCAAGTTTGCTCTTTTGATATCAGAATCATGTGAAAGTATGTTTTTATTTTTTTCTCTGATATGGTTACATTTTCATGTGTTTTGATTTGTTTTTGTGTATTTATTTGTTTATGCATCAGAAATTAAATATTTCAGATCTTGAAAATGAGCAGCTGGTCAAAACATGCAACAACATCAGGAAAGATTATCAACCATTTATCAACTGATTTAGAAAAATTCACATATGTAAGTAAGATAATATTTGCAGATGATGATCTTTTTCTGGAAACAGAAAAGGGGAGGGTTGGGTGAGATGGGGGGGGGGGGGGTTAGGAACTGTAGGTTTAATATGTGTACCTACATCTGTCTTTCCTGCTGTCCAACAGAAGATTTTGGGGCTCAACGTGAAATGGGCCCATAGTTTTCAGCGATGGACGATGGTACAGGGTGTCCGAAAAGAAAGGTAACACTTTAATATTTTGATAACTTCGCTAAATCTGGGGCTATTTCTTTGAAACTGATATCATTCGAAAGGTCTCAAACGAAAGTTTTTACTATTTGAAAAAATAATGCGCCAAAACATACGATGTTCCGACACTTTGACATCTTTCAATTAAACGTTATATGGATATGGTGCGACTCACGTCAGAACAGCATATTTTTATCGTCAAACAATTTTATGAAACAAAATGTGTAACAGACGTTAAGCGAAAGTTTAGAATTGTAATGTAAGCAGAAAACATGTCTACAAGATTATATGTAAATTCGAGCGACAAGGATCAGTAGCAGATGCTCCAAAAGCAGGTCGGCCGAGGTCAAGTCGGAGCTACGAAAATGTGAGTACGCTTCGAGAAATGCTAACAGTCCAGAGAAATCAGTGAGACGTTCCTCCTCAGAGACTGGAATCCCTAAAACTTGTGTTCATGACATATTTAGGAAAGATCTCAAACTTTTTCATGCAAGATGGTGCAACAGCACATTCATCTAATATTGTATTAGATTATCTCAATGAAATCATCAGTGATAAGGTGATTTCCCGACGATACCCTGAAGTGAAGGATTGTGGACAATCTTGGCCTGCGCACAGTCCTGATTTGAACCCGTGCGATTACTTTCTCTGGGGTACCTCATGTCTTCTGACCAAAACCGATGGACACAAAATGCTTTTGTCTAACATCAAACGGGAAGTTAAGAAGATCAGTGAAGAAATGTGTAAAAATGTTATTAACAATTTCAAAGTGCGAGTTAGGGAAGGGTAGCTGATAATAGGACGTCATTTAGAGAACGTCATTAATTATTGAAATGACAAATATGTACTCTGTACTTTAAACGCTGTTAAAATAACATTATTTGACATATTAACTAAATTATGCTACCAGAAAAAACTTACGTCTTTGTTTTATAGGTGTACATATTTTGATATAAATTTTTCAACATTAAATCTGCATTCCAAAAGTATGAAAGTGTTACCTTTCTTTTCGGACACCCTGTATCATTGATATTCTAGTAATTGTTCTGGTCTCTAAATCAATATTCCTCAACAAAGTAGTAGCATGGTCTAGTGAAAACAATGTCCATAATAATTTTTAAAGAAATATCCTTACCAAATTGTGTTAAGACGGCGATCCAGTTGCTCATTGTTGTCAAATTCATCCTCGCTTTCCTCGCTACTTTCTTGGGTATTTACATTATTATTTATACACACTGGTGGCTCAAACGTACAGTTGAAAATCAAGATTTTCTGGAATTTCATCAACATCAGAAGTCCATGGTGAATAAATCCCAATTTTTTGAATATCGGTCTCTGATCTAACACTGTTTTTACAATCAGCTGATCGAAGAAGGTCGCACATGGCATCACAGTACCATGTGACTCTGTATCTAATGAAATGAACAATTCTTAAATCGGGGCGTAAATTTTGATGGATTAAATGGCTAATCATTGCTAATTTTTTTTTGCAAACTAACTACGGGAATTAATTACAGTATGCATAAGGAAGGTTAATTGTGCATAATTTTGAGTAGTTTGGACACATGCGATAAGTCCTTTAATAAAGCTATAACCTAGTCATAAAGTATCCCAGAAGTGGTGAATGGAATAATTAACCCAAATATAATCATTTAATTATTTGAGCAGTTTAATATTTTGTAAGCAAAGCATTTCATCCTGAGTAATGTTCTCTATCTTCAGACTCTGGAGAGCTTCCATTTCTGCTGGTTGGGTCCCCTGGAGATAGGTATCATTATGTATCTATTATACAGACAGATCGGGTACATCGGTCTCCTGATTCTGGTGGTCATTGTTGTTCTTCTACCTCTCCAGGTCGTCTTAGGCTGGCTGTACGGAAAACTTAGGTCTGAACATTACTACCTCTATATCCACTGATAGGACACATTTTAAATGTACATGAAATTAGGGTATTGAGTAGTCATTTGGAAGGGGGTTTTTTTTGTTAGTGTGTGTATTTTTTCAGGATGACAATAGGGGCAGCAGGAGATAAAAGGATTCATTTGATGAACCAGATCATTGCTGGAATGAGGGTCATCAAAATGTACTGCTGGGAAAAACCATTCAGTGAAATCATCTTTAAACTCAGAAGGTAATGCAGATATCACAAAAACCATTCAGTGAAATCATATTTAAACTCAGAAGGTAATGCAAATATCACAAAAACCATTCAGTGAAATCATATTTAAACTCAGAAGGTAATTCAAATATCACAAAAACTATTCAGTAAAATCATATTTAAACTCAGAAGGTAATTCAAATATCACAAAAAACATTCAATGAAATCATATTTAAGAGCCCTCTATACACTGCACACTAAAGAGTTCTGATTTTGTGGTATTTTTATGCAGATAGAGTGATCTGCCCTTTGATCAAGAGTAAAGTAAATTGGAATGTACAGTTTATTACTTAATTTGTGATCAAATCAAGCATTCACAACACTTTAATAGGCCAAGAGGAATAGATAGAACACTTCATTTGCAGGTATTTTGTCCACTGAAGTAAACAACAGTGATTTCTGTTCATCAGTACTTCATTGTCTTTGAACATTTTTCCTGGGGGTAAATGCAAGGCACCCTATGATAAAAATGTGATAGATAAGCTCAATATTAACACCTTTACACACTGTAATTTTCTCAATGCCCAAAAAATATTTTCTTCTAGTGTATAGAGGGTCCTTAAACTCAGAAGGTAATTTCAAATATTGAAAAATAATATCCATACCTTACTTGTAAAGAAGATATCATAATCTCTTAAACAGTTGAACTTTATTGGTATCTTGAACATCAATCTCAAATACCATGGCTATGTCAAAGTGATTTGGAAGTCCACTTCTTATTTTTTAAGTATTTTACCCTCAATATCTCAAATCATTAGATATCTAAAAGTTTTTTCTTGGTCCCAATGAGTTTGAGATAACGAGATTTGACTGTAATTTGATAGGGTGCTTTGACAAAGAGAGAATATTATTTCACTCATTGTGGTAATATTAGAAAAATACTTAGATTTTTGGTTCGAGAAGTTTATTTCCAGCATTAAGCTAATCCATACTTACTGGTAAACTGAATGTTGGTAAATTATAATTTAGGACCATCATATTGGGATTTTTAAAAAAGGCATAGCTACATAAATGTTGATTTCAGGGCAGAGATGGCCCAGATATGGAAAGCTTACATCTGGAAGGCTATCAACATAGGGGTTTTCCAAACAGCCACCATGATAATTGTCATGTTTGTATTTGGATTGGCTTGGTACATGGGGGTTCCGCTCTCCACACGGAAGATCTACAGTGCCCTAGGATGGATCTTCTGTCTCCGATTGACCATCTTCTTGTTTATGATGTACATGGTGGAAGATAACAAGCAACTGTCATCAGCACTTAAACGAATACAGGTAGAGTTTTACATAATTCCTCTAATGAATACAGTAAATCATCCATCTGAATAATAAGGCAAACACTCACATCATCCCTCAAAAAGATGTACTTAAGACAAGATTTTATGTCATTCTTCTAAAATAAAGACTTTTAGATCATCCCTCTTATGAGTTATGAATACAGAGGTAAACATTTTCATCATCCCTCTCTTGAATACAGGGACACTTTTAATTCAACCCTCTAATGAATACAGACTTATTTTGACATCATTCCTTTTATGAATACAGACAAGCTTTTACATCATATTTCTGTTGAATACAAACTTGTGCACCATCCTTCTGATTTGAAAAATTTTAAAATTCTCACTCTAATGAATGCAGATAAACTTTTCCATCATTGAATATGGATTTACTTTTAATGAATGTACATGAAGGTAATGTTTTCCTTAAAAAGAACAAATTTACATATTTCATCAAATACTTACACAATATAGTTAATAATTATCAGTAGTTAAAAACTTAACGACTAAATGCATTCTAACTTAGAACCATTTACATTTCGGGTAACATTTTGATTTAAGTGAAATTATGTGTTGAATCTTTTAGAACCCTTTTCAACTTGCACTGTATATTATTATACCCCCACTCCGAAGGAGAGGGGGGTATACTGTTTTACCCTTGTGTGTCAGTCTGTCTGTCTGTCCGTCTGTCTGTCCGTAACAAATTTTGATCGCAGTTTTCTTAGCAACTACTGTAAACCAACTTTTATTCACGTGCGAGAAATTTTCGTGAGGTTCGCGAGAGCCTCGTCATGGCGAATATTTCTCGCCTCGAACCGGTCCTTAAAGTCTCTCTTTCTATTAACAAGAGATCCAAAAAAAGGCTTGATCGCGAAAATTAATCGTCGCGAACTAGTTTACCCCCGGTAAATCGCGAAATAAAGTTGTCGCAAATAAAAGTTGGTTTACAGTACTCATTGCAGATGCTTGAAATTTTAGCATACTCTTTGTTTAGGTATGCCATATGGTGGGATTCATTTTTTTACAATCCCGATGTCAACTTCCTGTTTTTCCGTGCGCTTGTCCGTACCGCACATAACAAATTTTGGTCGCAGTTTTCTCAGCAACTACTCATCACAGATGCTTGAAATTTTAGCACAGTCTTTGTATAGGCATGCCATATGGTGGGATTCATTTTTGTACGAATCCAATGTCAACTTCCTGTTGATCCGTGCGTCTGTCCGTACCATACATAACAAATTTTGGTTGCAGTTTTCTCAGCAACTGCTCATCGCAAATGCTTGAAATTATAGCACACCCTTTGTTTAGGCATGCCATATGGTGGGATTCATTTTTGTATGAATCCGATGTCAACTTCCTGTTTATCCTTGCGCTTGTCCGTACCGCACATAACAAATTTTGGTCGCAGTTTTCTCAGCAACTACTCATCACAGATGCTTGAAATTTTAGCACAGTCTTTGTATAGGCATGCCATATGGTGGGATTCATTTTTGTACGAATCCAATGTCAACTTCCTGTTGATCCGTGCGTCTGTCCGTACCATACATAACAAATTTTGGTTGCAGTTTTCTCAGCAACTGCTCATCGCAAATGCTTGAAATTATAGCACACCCTTTGTTTAGGCATGCCATATGGTGGGATTCATTTTTGTATGAATCCGATGTCAACTTCCTGTTTATCCTTGCGCTTGTCCGTACCGCACATAACAAATTTTGGTCACAGTTTTCTCAGCAACTAATAGAAGATGCTTGAAATTTTAGCACACCCTTTGTTTAGGCATGCCATATGGTGTGATTCATTTTTGTACGAATCTGATGTCAACTTCCTGTTTATCTGTGCATCTGTCCATACCATACATAACAAATTTTGGGTGGCAGTTTTTCAGCAACTACTCATCGCAGATGCTTGAAATTTTAACACACTCTTTGTTTAGGCATGCTATATGTTGGGATTCATTTTTGTACGAATCTGATGTCAATTTCCTGATTATCACTGTGTCTGTCCATAACTGAACTTGTGTATTCACATCAGGGCGGGGGTATTATTAGTGAGCAGTGGCTCACAGACTTCTTGTTTCAGTCTTTTCTTGCAGTGGAAGATATGAAGATGTTCCCCGAGTTTGATGAAATGACTAAATCCATGGAAGATGCTGGTGTGTCTGTCTGTATCCAGGACGTGACTGCTAGCTGGCATGTTGCCAATGATACTGACAAGGACGAAGTCACTGACAAACTTGTGGACAAAGTAAGTGTGTACTCATCTAGTTTTTCTTAAAGTAAAAGACATATTTTACACAGGATATACATGTACATGTGGTTCATTTTTTCAGGAGATGACTCAAACATTTTCTTTGAAGAACATCAATTTAAATGTCAAACAGGTCAGTCATTCTATAAATGAATATTCATCTGTCTGTGAATTTACCAGTAGTGTATATACAGTGTACATGTGCATTAACCAACATTTCTATCTTGTATCATGATTATCATGAAAAGCTCCACTTAAATCAGGACAAGTATAGTAAAGGAAATACCCAGAATTAATAGTTTTAGTAAAACATATATTCTACTTAATCTGATGTTTTGTTTGTAACACAAATTAGTAAGAATATTTTACAATTTCCAGGGAGAACTGCTAGCAGTAGTTGGACCAGTAGGAGCAGGAAAGGTACTGTGTTCAGGTGGAGGAGGTGTTTCCTAAATTTGAAGAATTTGTGCCAAATCTTTTTGTATCTCTTAAGTACAATATGGTTTGTTCAAATCAATATTTAGAGAACCAGCAGGGACAGGAAAAAAAGAGATCTGCTTTTATGAACTGCATGTGTATGCTAAGAAAAATTAAGACCCTTGTTGTATAACAAACAATTTTTAGCTCACCTTGACAAAGTTGAAATTAGGTTATATACCACCAGCCTTAGCATTGGCATCCTGGTTATAGTTTTAGGAGCAAGTCTATTCCCAAGTAACTATAAGCCATACCTTGACCAAACTTGCATGTATGGTGCATTTAGGGATGTACACTACTAGACTTGGTTTGTATGCTGATTCTGACCTACATTCTCCAGATGATGGACCAGGTTTAAGTTTTTTAAGCAAGTCCATTCCCAAGTACCTGTCAACCCTATGATGACCAAACTTGCTCAGATGATACATGTAGGGATGCACACTCTTAGACTTGCTTCATATGTTGGATCTGACTTACATTTTCCAGACGAGTGACCAAGATTTTGGAGCAAGTCCATGTCCAAGTCACTATAAGCCATACTGTATGGATAATGCATAGGGCTGGGTATTGGCTAAAGATTTCATATTGCGATATTATTAACTGTTACAGTATTGCGAAATGTATTGCAATATTTTCAACAAAAATTTAAATAGTATTTTCTTATTATATTAACTTCCTTTTACATGTAGAATGTACATAACTATGATAAATAATCATTAAAATATATCTTGTTGATTGAAATTACAGTTATGCAACGAAATACACCTATACAACAGCTTTTTCTTACTGTTGGCATGATCACAAACCTTTCTTGCAACTTTTCTTTATATTTTAATCTTTCCATTTCTATTTGTATTCTCTTTGATAACTCTTTGAAAGTTAGTTGACTTGATTTCTTAATCATTCTACCGCAATACAAATTTCGCCAAGCAATAGGCCAGGAGCTAAGCACGCCTAATATGCATGTAAATCTCGTGCGGCTGTCTTTGTGTTTGACGTCACTGGGCGGGGACTATTAAATTGACATGGGAGACCTCGTGTAATTTAAATCTATTAGTCTACATTTTTAAAATCTTAATTTACAATTTTATTTCACAATGCAATGGAAATATAAGGAATCACTGTCTATAGTTAGTAGAGTATGCCAGGGACGTCAACGATAGTGCAAATTATCCCATGTTTCCAACTATTGTTGATGCCCTGGCATACTCTTCTAACTAGAGTGATTCCTTAATTATAGAATTCCTGAGTCCAAGCATTTTGCTGGTATATCGGTACAGTATTACAAAAACGTATTGCAATACGATATTTTTTGTCGACATACTGCAATATACCGGAATACTGGTATTATTGCCCAGCCAAGTGATGTATGCTGCCAAACTTGCATTGCTTGATCTGACCTACATTTTCAGAATGATGGACCTGGTTAAAGATTTTAAGCAAGACCATTCCCAATGGACTATAAGCTCTATGGTGACCAAACTTTACCAGATTTGTTTTGAAAGCTGGATCTGACCTCCAATTTCCAAATGATTGAACAGGTTAAATTTTTTGAGAGCGAGTACATTCCTAAGTAATGGTAAACCCTATGGTGACCAAACTTGCATGGATGATGCATTTAGGAATGCACACAAGGTACAAAACTTGCTTCATATGCTGGATCTGACATACATTTTCCACATGAGTGACCAAGTAAGTTTTTGGAGCAAGTCCATTCCCAAAGTACTGTAAGTCCTAAACTTGCATGGATGATGCATGCAGGAATGTACATCCTGAGACTTTCTTTGGACTCTGAATCTGACCTACAAATTTCCCAAGTATACAATATCAAAATTGTAGAATTAGTGGGGGTACATATGGTAATTTCTGATTGAATGAAAAATTGAGGAAAATACTGTATATCACATTTATTTCAGTAAATAACAATGAAATTTTTTCTTTTTAGTCTTCCTTGCTGTTGAGTGTCCTGAAAGAGTTGCCACCAACCCTGGGAAAGCTCCAGGTGATCGGCAGTGTGGGATACGCCTCCCAGACTCCTTGGGTGGTATCGGGAACATTGCAGGCAAACATTACATTTGGGGAGGACATTCAAGAAGACCGTTACCACAGAGTCCTCCGTGCCTGTGCTCTATATAAGGTTTGAGACTATTTGCTCTGTTTGTTGTAATAGTTCTGTCTGTAATCCTAGGTTAAACAGTGCTAGGTATCAAGCTGAAGAAAAAGATGGACTGTGTGTAGGTAAAAAGCATAAATTTTGTTATTGTTCTGAGAGTAATTTGTTTAATTAGTATAATGAAGTGTTTGGTCTTCCTTTTCTTTTCAAAGAAGGCTGTGAATATTTATCATAGAATGTAAACTGTAAGATACAGTATTTGGATGGTTTATGCAGGATTGTACAGATTATTTCAATATTTTCATAGAATTTCTATATATAGGATTTAGACCAGATGAAGTTTGGAGACCAAACCCGGGTCGGGGAGAGGGGACTGTTGCTAAGTGGGGGACAGAAGGCAAGGCTAACACTTGCCAGGTATCATAATTACTGTTCAGAATATTTCTGATTATAACATACTTGTATTTGGAATGTCATAATCAAAACATTCTGTAGACTTACCTGTCTCTACACATGTAATTCTTATGCCAATTTTTTCAAGCTAGAGTTTTTAGCACTTTAGAGATATGGCACAGGCAATAAGTACCATAATTGACCATGTCATTTACATTTCAGAACTGTCTATAGAGAAGCTGATGTGTACCTCCTGGATGACCCTCTTGGAGCAGTGGACACTGATGTAGGCAGCCATCTGTTCCAGAAGTAGGTCAATTTATTTTGTTTGTTTTTTTTGTGTTTAAGAAAAGATCACATATACGAGAGAAATAATCAAGGTAAAGCTTGAAATTGAATTTTAACTGTGACTGTGTGCCGTTGTAGGTGTATTTGTGAGTTTTTGAAAGGCAAGACAAGAATCCTTGTTACCCATCAACTGCAATATCTTAGGTCTGCTGACAGAATCATCATCCTTAATGAGGTCCGTCTCATAGTCTAACCAATGATTAGCTGTGTATCACTGTTCTTAAAGCTGTAAATAAATAGAATTAGAACATGTTTCTAACTTACAGAATTTGGTAATGGTAATATCTTTCTATTCTTTTGTTCAGGGGAGAATAGTGAATTGTGGTACTTATGATGAACTTGTGAAACAGGGAACAGAATTTTCGACAATCCTATCTGATCATGACAAGGACTTAGAGAAGAAAGAAGGAGAAGAGGACAAGAATGAAAAAAGAAAAGGAGAAAAAGTAAACAATAAATTCAAGTTTTTATATAAATAAAGTTCTCAGGAGTAAAATGTGATTTCTGTAGAGTTGAATCTGCTACTTGTATCTTTGAGGGAGCAAATTGTTAAAAAAAAAAGGAAAAGGAAACTGAAATTATTTTTTATGCATATACACATGTAACAAAAAGAGCCTTGTAAACCAAAAAAAAAAAAAGAAGAAGTCTTATGTAATTTTGCTCAGATTTACAAAATATTAATTTTTCAGAATACAAAAGAGAATACAGAGGAGGAATTTTCAAAGTATGGTAGTGTCGGATGGAGAGTGTACAAGGATTACTTTTTGACAGGACATCCCTGGTTGTATTTACCTATTGTCATACTTCTTCTTATGGCAACTTATGTGAGTTTCCTATTTTGTACTAGTGCATCACTCTCTACTCTATTTTTTATCAGTGCAATATGGTAGAGTTCTTTCTAAAGCTATTTCAAAACATGTTTTTCTATAATTGCTCTGTAGGGGTATTATTAGTCTTGTTAGGGCAATTCTAATTACCGGGTATGCTTACTTTGATAGTACAGTAAAACTTGGTTATAGCAAAGTTATAGCAAAGTCCTGGGGACCTGTGAATATACTTGCTATATCTGTAATTCGTTATATTCAAATAATGAATTCATGTTTCATTGGGTTTGCTTTTAAATTTCAGGCTTCCTATGGGTTTGCTGACTGGCATTTTGCTAAGTGGTAAGTTTTTAAAGACATTAAATATATGGTAACTAAGTCTAAGGATGAGCTGTATATGTGCTATGGCTAAAATGGCAGAATGATATAAATTGAAAAATTATTAGCTCTCGTATTGCAGATACGTTTTTAGAGAAATTCTGCACAAACAAACATTCAGCAATATAAATTTACAAAGTTGTTTGTTTCAGGGCAGAATCAGCTGATTTACTCAATGTTCAGAGACAAACTGGACAGTCATCTGGAAATCTGGACCCAGCTGTCATCAATATGTCAAATCAATCACTAGAACAAAATTTGACCTACAGCATCTCCCCCCTAAATCACACCACTCTATACTCCAATGGTACCTCCATTGTGTCCGCCACCCAGCAGTATGTTGATCTGTTCATGAAGACCTACCTAGTTGCCATATCTATATTTATTGTTGGTGTTGCCCTCTTTGGAATGGCATATTTTAGAATGTCAGTCTGCATTAGTAAGAAACTTCACAACACCATGTTCGATATCGTCATTGGAGCCAAAACACATTTCTTTGATTCTAATCCTGTTGGTAAGTGTATTTCTAAGCATGTACTTCTAGTGCATGGCATGCGTAGAGAGTTAGTCTTAAGTTGGTTTTAGAGGATCTTATAGTTGTAGCTGAATGTATTGAATTATTAGGACACACATGAAGATGAAAGAATACAATAGTAATCACTGTTTCTCCCATTATCAACTGTGTTTCGTCATTCCCATGCAGTTTTCCTTTTTTCTTCTAACGTGTTATGAAACACCTAGAACAATTCTGATGGGCTGCTTTACTCCACACATTTCAAATTGAACCTAAAGTGTACAAATCCATGTTTGTATAATGGGAGAAACAGGTCCCATATCCAGTGCTCATTAGTAACTGGTTTTCTCAAACTTGAGTTCCTTAATTTATTTAATTTTCAAGAGATTCTCGTCAAGCCACATGTCTCTTGAAAATTAAAAAAATTAAGGAACTCAAGGTTGAACAAAAATTAACTCGCACGAGTTATGGAACCTATGATATGTTGGTTATTCTGTCTGTTCATGGTTTTAGCAAATTTTGTAATCTGAAGCATTTATATTAGGTACATGTAAGTGAAAAATACCTAGAAAAGACACCTAATAGATTTTGGAGTATTTTGCCAAAGGTCAAGGTTGAATCTGAGGACTTAATTTATGACCATTGTGATGCACAATCTTCATATTCATTAATAGATAAAGGATGGTTTAGATTAGGGTGTTTATTAATTTTGATAATGTAAAAGCCAATGTGTCAAAATTATTGATATGGTTATTGCATGTGAAAATATGTAGTGACTCTTTTTAACTTTGTCAGTTTTGTATTTGTACCTAAAAATCGTTTGTTTTTACAGGTCAGATATTAAATAAATTTGCAAGAGACCTTGGAATGATAGATTCTGTCATACCATCTTTAGCCTATGCTGTGATAGAGGTATGTATATCAGATTATCTTTTTTTAAAAAAAATGTTTGCCTGCCCTCTCCTGACTGAGGACAAAAATTTTGGTAGGTAGGTAAGGAAAAAAAAATCAGATCAGCAATGCTTAATTTTGAAATTGAAGGTATTAATAAAATTGAAATAGATGTGAGTTGTACAATAGTATAAATTCTGGAATGAATTTAAAAAAATAGTTGTTTCCTGAAGGTTTAAAAAAAGTTTTGAGTCTGGTCATCGATTTTTAGCCATTTGGTCTGGAGAGGACCGACAGACATTTTTTTTTTAAAAAATGGCCTCTGTGTTGTTCGGCATTGCCTTATCTTTTTTAACCAACATACATGTACCTATCTCAATGAATCAGATTGCTTAACAATTCACAATTATCTAGGTCTAAACTTGACTTTACTGAGGCCACTAACAAGACTTCCTATGCTATTGAGAAGTGGTCAATATTTTTGATTTTGTTTCAAGAGAAAAAGGATGTTACAAGCCTATTTATGTGATCATACAGGCTAAGTAACTCAAAAACTCACCAGACTTTTTTGATGATTTTTTGAGAAGTAGTGTTCATCCCTTTGAATAAAATAATCAATGTCTGAAAAAAAAATAACAATACAGATTCATAGAAATACAGGACAGTCTATGTTTCTAGCCCCTCCCCCCCATACATGTACCAGTATTCTCACAGAGATAGAAACCCTTATGAAAATTGGACAACTAGTGGTTCATATACAATGTTTATGGGTGCATACAGTTGCACTTTGGTATCTCGAACAGGATATCTCAAATACCATGGATATGTCAAAGTGACTAGGAAGTCCTTACCACATATTTCTTAAGTATTTTACCCTCAATATTTCGAACCCTCAGATATCTCGAAGTTTTTTCTTGGTCCCATCAAGTTCGAGATAACAAAGTTTGACTGTATTTTATATGTGTACAGAAATGCAAAATTTATCTATACATGTACTGGTACTTGTCAGTGATCTGATGTAAATGTTTTTAAAAAAATTTCTACCTACCGGTACTACTCATGCATGTATTTCTTGTTTGTTTTATGTAGACATCCATTCGTCTGCTGATGCAGATAGTCATCACTTGTATTGTAAATCCCTACCTGTTGTTACCACTAACCCCATTGGTTATCCTGATTTACATACTAAGACAGTTTGCGCTACCAACCACCAGAAATATGAAACGTTTAGATTCCATCAGTAAGTCATCCCAACAAGTCTTTAATTTTGTAAAGCATCTTCTGAATACATATATAAATGTATCTGATTAAAAAAAGAATTTTCTTTAAACCATGTATACATGTATCTGTTTTCATAAGAATTTTCTTTAAACTTTGTCATAATGTTGGGGGGGTTGGGGTGGGGTGGGGTTGTTTTGTTTTTTTCTGGGGGGGGGGGGTTGCTTTATTGACTTCAGTGAAAATTCTATTGTGGTAGACAATTCAAGTGTGTTCAGTTTGAATTTAAAAAAAAAACACTTTTTAAAGGCAAATTTGCTGTTAAACTTATAATCATTATTTATACACAATATAAATCATTTGTGTTTCAGCCCAGAGCCCGGTGTTTTCCCATATATCTGACACCCTAGTAGGACTCCAGTCCATTCGAGCACTTGGAATGGATCGGAAGTTCCTGACGGATTTTGACAGATTACAGAACAAGCACACCATTGCAGCCTTCATGTTCTTGGCATGTAACAGATGGTTCAGCCTACGCTCACTGTTCTGTCTCAACGTTTACTTCATTCTAGTCATATTCCTATCTCTGGCCCTCAGAGACTGTGAGAATTTAGAATTTTTTCTCTCTGAAGTATAAAAGTTGTTGCAAGCAGTAAGAAACTTAAAACAGTTTCAAATAAATTATTTTTTTAATCATATGTTCATTATCAATAATTAATGAAGGATGTAAATTGTACATGCACTTGCATTTATGTATAATGATAAATCCAGTTCATGTAACAATGTGTTTTTTTTTCAGCTATTGGATTATCTGGAGGGTTGTTTGGAATGGCCATAAACTACCTCCTTGTAATGGCTAATCCATTTGAATACTTAATGAGGGTATCCACCTCACTTAACACACAGGTATAATTGTAGTCAAGATGTACAGTGTATAACATGAATTGCTTGAATACAGAAACTTTGGTAACTCAAATACTTCTATTCCAGAATTTCCTCAGGTACACCACATACAATGTCTTATTCTTTTGGCCAACAGATTTGGGTCCTTTGTTCTAACAGAAATAAAAATTAATTTGTTATTTATGTTATAATAAGAAATTACTCATTTATTCGTATGCCTTAAGTTGATACACCAAGAAAAAGGTCTGCAGACTCTCTTACAAATATTTTACTTGTTACATTAGGGTCAAATCCTGCAGATTACAAAATAAATTTTACAAGATCTAAGATGGAGAAATCTTGTATTGTAGATGACTTCAGTGGAGAGGATTATGTCATATACAAAATTGGAACAAGAGGCCCCCAAAGTGTCGGAATTCCCTCCTGCTTCCTCTTGGCCTCTTTATGGGGAAATCAAACTAGTCAATGTGGGACTGCAGTATTCTGATGATACTGACCAGGTCCTACACAATATCTCCTGTCATATCCACAGTCAGGAAAAGGTACGAATGTACTGATCAGATATCCTACACAATATCTCCTGTCATATCCACAGTCAGGAAAAGGTACCAGGTCCTACACAATATCTCCTGTCATATCCACAGTCAGGAAAAGGTACGAATGTACTGATCAGATATCCTACACAATATCTCCTGTCATATCCACAGTCAGGAAAAGGTACCAGGTCCTACACAATATCTCCTGTCATATCCACAGTCAGGAAAAGGTACGGATGTACAGATCAGATCCTATACAATATCTCCTGTCAAATTCACAGTCAGAAAAAGGTATGAATGTACTGACCAGTTCCTACACAATATCTCTTGTCATATCCACAGTCAGGAAAAGTTACCAGGTCCTACACAATATCTCCTGTCTGTGTCATATCCACAGTCAGGAAAAGGTACCAGGTCCTACACAATATCTCCTGTCATATCCACAGTCAGGAAAAGGTACGAATGTACTGATCAGATATCCTACACAATATCTCTTGTCATATCCACAGTCAGGAAAAGGTACCAGGTCCTACACAATATCTCTTGTCATATCCACAGTCAGGAAAAGGTACGAATGTACAGATCAGATCCTATACAATATCTCCTGTCAAATTCACAGTCAGAAAAAGGTACGAATGTACTGACCAGTTCCTACACAATATCTCTTGTCATATCCACAGTCAGGAAAAGTTACCAGGTCCTACACAATATCTCCTGTCTGTGTCATATCCACAGTCAGGAAAAGGTATGAATGTACTGATCAGATATCCTACACAATATCTCTTGTCATATCCACAGTCAGAAAAAGGTATGAATCTCCTATCTAAGGGTAGTATTGTAGAAAATCTTAGGTTCAGAGAAATATCATTAATGAAAAAAGAATAACATTGTGTCAGCATCAACTGCACAGTGCATGCTTGGGGATATGAATAATCATTCAATGTTTTGCATTAGATTGGAATTGTGGGAAGGACAGGAGCAGGAAAGAGTTCCTTACTGGCAGCTTTACTGAGGCTGGCAGAACCCACGGGAGAGATCCTTATTGACAATGTCAATGTACTGAAGATAGGCCTCCATGAACTCCGCAGCAAGATCTCGGTCATTCCGCAGGTAACAAGTTACCCTTATAACAAAAGAAATTCACATCTGATTCCTTATTTCCTCTCTATTTCTGTCTCTAAAATTATAATGATATTTATTAATTTTTACTTACAGTTATGTTTGCAATTTTTACAGGATCCAATTCTATTTAGTGGTACTTTGAGGAAGAATTTAGATCCATTTGAAGAATACACAGACGACCAATTATGGGATTCACTGGAACAGGTAGGTAATTAGGATACAATTCATTTACCATATATACTCATCTATAACACAGTCCCCTATAAGTCATTTTTATTTTTTAAGGTTATATTGGAGGGATTTGCCATTGACCAGCTTACATGTATGAGTCGGACAACTTTTTGCCAGAATTGGTTGAAATTTCAAATTAATGCTCTATGTTTTAACCTATGTTTCAAAAATTATCTGAGAAATGACATTGAAATTTTATAATTATGAGATGTTTAAAGTCCAAGTCATATCTTTGGTTTTTTTATTAAATATAAACACTATGCTTGATGTATTATTGGCAATTATCATGATTAAACCCTTAATAGAAAATATTCAAAACAGTACATATAAATAATTTAATATTAATCATAAATGCCAAACTGGCATTATATATTGTGTTCACAATTCAATTTCACCGATAAACTATAGATTTACAGTAAGTCACAAATTACTAAAGGAATTAGTTATGTAAATAATAAACAAAATAAATAATACACACTTAAAATCAAAAAAAATTATGAAAATATGTAAATGCTTGTACTTTATCCACAATCTTAGAATGCATAAATTTTCAAAAATTTTGTCCATGATATCGTCAGAGTTGTTTAAAGAATACTACACTTTGCCGTCCAGAAAAATATCATTTTTTAGGACTTGCCTATAAGTCAAACATATAGTTTTGGACCAAAATTTAACTCCCAAAACACCAACTTATAGGCAAATATATACGCTACATAAATATTTACGTTACCTGACACCCAAAGACTGCAAAAATTTGAGGAAATGGAAATTTGTTAGAAAATTATTTTGAAAATTTTTACAAAAGGTTCCGAAATATGTTCTGAAAAGGAAAATGCTTTATAAAAATAAAGTGAATGGTTGCCTTTAAGTACATGTATATATTATTTATGCATGCTTGTGTTTATTTCTGGTTCTCCATTTACATCATGTTATGTTATCAATCATGCATGGATCGGGGGGGGGGGGGGGGGCAGACCCCCTGGAATTGGCAGAGTTATTAAATGTATATACTGAAGCAAATAAAAAATGGACTTTGGACCCCCCAACCCAACCCCAACCCCTAGAAAATGTAGACCTGGGAGTACCACGAAATAAGTTTTTTTTCATGTTTGGGAATGGACTTTATTTTTATTTATTTATTTATTATTATTATTATTTTTTTATTATTTATTTTTACAGAGCTCCAGATAAGGTGCGTATTTGCAGAAATATGCATTGAATTTTTCAAAATACGCATTAAAATTTAAAACAGGGCGTACATTTACGCATTAGCAATCATAAATAAGCATTACACTACGAAAGTACTGCGTACAATGGATTGGATTTTAACTCATTATGTGAATTGAAGTCTGCTCAGTGTTTGAATTTTTATCAAAAGGAAATTTTGATTAAGCGTATTTGGAATAACCTAGACCGATTTCCAGTTCGAGAGAAAGATTTGAATATTAAATACTCGTACTTTGTCTGAAAATATCGCAGATCGATTCCCACTGTTCATATAACATCCAAATTTTCGTTTTTGACACGTACAGGTGATATTGTCAAAATTGGGCAAAATTGAACACGCGTTGTGTGTAATTTATTCTTTATCACTGTTTATTAAACAGTTCTTGTATATTAACCATTTTCTGTAGCAACAATATCATCCATAGTCCGCCGACAACTTTTATTAATTGTATGAAAATATTGCTTTTTTGCGTTTCACATGCTCTTGTGCTATAAATAGCACCACGCGACTTTTAATGCAAACGGGGAGTAACTCTGAAACTTTTACCTCTAACGATGCCAACAATTTATGTAGCAAAACCTAGTATATATTTCTGATTAAAAAGACAAACAAACAAACAACACGGAAAACAACGGGGCTGGATATTTTGAGAGGGGCAGGTGGGGATTAGAATCTAAAGATTAATTTTATTTGGCCAAAGGTCTCGGTAACTCTTGCTACGATCGATATAGGCCTAGTCTTAAATGGAGTTCAGCGTGCCCGTGGTAACAGGTCTGGGCGGTGTACCAGTGAAAACTGTTTTTTACCATATATGGAAACCGCGTTGCATTGTGGGATAGTTTATCCTCCGATTTAAGAGGATAACACAGGTAATTTTCAAACACCTCGTGCCTACCTTTAATCAAAAAGTGCAAGCACCAGAGTACATGCAAATAAAAGTTCAAACATTAAACTATCGATTGTATGTGGCGATTTGAGATTCTATGTCTAGATATTTTGCAATTTATTTTCAAAGTTAGCACTTTTTGCGCTCCATTATAACTGAATATTTCTTGTTATTTTGTTTAATTTTTTTATGATTTTTCCCTATTTAGACAAATGAAAAAGGACTTAAATATTTCTTTTATATTTTCTTTTAATTCAAAAAAGGAAACACATTTTAAGCGTATTTAAAACGCAAAATATACTCTGCCTTATAATTTAAGCAAATAAAAGTACAAATGGATTGAATGAATAATTATAAAAAATAAATAAATAATTTGAATAGCATAAGTAAATAAAATAAATAATTTGACATGTTTACTAAGAAATTAACATATATTCATACAGCCATGTGTATACACAAACAAATAAAATATTACAAAGTGATGTGCTTAAGAATTATTAAATGAAAGAAATAATAAATTATTGAACTTAATTTTTCAAAAAAAATGGTTTATAAAAATTTCTAAACTGCTTATCACATAATTACGGTACTGTAAAATCAGCGTGGTTATAATTAACCTCAGTCACAGGCAGGTAAGTGCAATATTTGTTTTCCAAGCTGTATACCGAATAACTGATTGACGACAATTAAAAAATATAGTTATATTGATTTAATATCTGGAATTATCCATAATCATATAAAGTTGTACCTTTTATTTGTTTTGATTTCAAAATCAGCATACGGTTCATAAATGCAAGAGTTGCTGTTATTTGTTTGCTTAGGAGTTAACTGCCCTTAGTTCTGAAAATTCCGGTAGGTGGCAAAACCGCTATCCTCCGTTTTAAGAGGATAAAATCTATCCTCCAAAAACAGAGGCCGCCTAGACCTGGGTAACTTTGCCTATCGTATGGTCTTTCTCGTGAAAGAAAAAAAACGAAATGTTTCTCAGTTATAACTAAAAGCTGACAAAATTTTTAAAATTTCATTAACCTAATTGATAAATGCAGAAACTAACATTTCTTTTACATTCCTCTTTCAAAAACACTTATATCGATAACAAGCTAAAAATCTTGTTGAAAACGTTATACGGCGGTTACTCGAACATTCCCGCTGCCATTTCTGATCACTGTCCAACATTAGATGTCAAAAGAGCAATTGATTAACATAATACTCTTTGATTATTTTGCTGAAAAGCAAAATCTGCATTGATTTCAAAATCAGGGAGTAAATACACTTTGAGGTAAAAAATTATCTGGAGCTCTGTAAATTTATTTTTTTTTTTTGCTTAATTGTCAAGAAATTTTTCTGGGTTTGGTGTATTTGGGAAAGGAGTTTTTTTCTTTTTTTTAATTGCTTGTCAAGAAATCCCCCCCCCCCCCCTCTTGCCAAAAAATTTCCTGGATCCACACCTGGTTATAAATAAAGAATTTAAATTGTTTTACAGTTACTTTCATCCTTTGCTTGGCCATAAGTGGTTATTTTAAATAACTTGTTTGATAATTCTAATTATACAGGTGCAGCTCAAACTTAAAGTCCAGAGTGAGAGTGAGGGCCTGTACATGGAGATGACCGAGAGTGGACAGAACCTAAGTGTAGGACAGAGACAGTTGGTCTGTCTGGCTCGGGCCATCCTGAGACAAAACAAGATTTTGGTGCTAGATGAGGCCACAGCCAATGTTGATCACAAGTACAATTTTTTTTTTTCATTTTTATTTTTTTCACATTTCTTCAAATAATACAGTCAGGATTTTACAAACCCAATCTGACTAGGGGGTAGGGGTATAGGGCTTTTAACTCACAATCACTCACACATTCATACTGATATAGGCTTTCATTCAAAAGAAAAAAGAGAAGAGATGGAGAAAAGGAAGGGTTACTCTGACTGTTATTATACAAACTATACATAAATCATGACTTAATCAATGTAATGACATTATTTTAGTTTCAAAGGTTGAGCATATAATCTAGTTAAATAATTTTTTTCAAGTTCATCGACAGACTTTAGTTTACCGGTAATGAGAAAGTTATTTATGTTGCATACATGTATGTGTAGGTGCTTAATTAACATAGAAAAAATGGACAGAATATAATAAATGTCTTCTTTGTTCTCATTTTGAACTGCTAAGGGCTTTTTTGACATATTTTTTCACATCACCTGCCAGAGTTACTCAGGTGACCTATTGCTATCTGTTTTTGTCCATAAACTGAATAATTTCAGACTATCCTCAGACATGACTGAAGCATTTTTAACCAATATTGGTATGTAGCATCTATAGATAAAGGAAAACAAGTGGTATTCCCCAGGGACCTGAAGGGTGGGACCAAAACCATTGAGATTCACACAGTATTTAAAAGCTGGACATCCAGAAGACAAACTATTTGCTTATATTATAGTAAGCAATTTGTGTCCTCTAATAAAATTCAAATTTCATGTCCCCTGCTTCCAGGAATTAAGCCCCAGGGTTTGGCTAAGTTGATCATATATTTAAAATGCATTTTATTGTCCCCCACTTTCACTGAAAGTGGGGGATATTAATTTGGGTCTGTCCATCTGTCTGTGTGTTGGTCATTCTGTATGCTAGGGATGCTTGATTTTATCAGTATACCAGTATATTAGCTTATTTTTATTGCACAATGTTGACAGGTCAGAAATTCTTACATTTTGCCTGTGTGGAACATGTTCATTTCCAAATGATATCTCAAAAAGCCTTTGAACTTTTGCAATTAAACTTTATATCACAACTCCCTGTGGCCTAAAATAGACCCCTAATGATTTTTAGGTCAATGGGTCGAAGGTAAAGGTCAGAATTTCATACATTGTAAAAAATGGTTTCCAGATGACAACTTTAGTTTTCTTTGAGCGTTCTCGAAGGAATTTTATATCCTAACTCTCAATGTCTTTAAAAGACCCCTATTGATTTTGATGTCAAAGTTCAAAGGTCAGGGGCAGAATTTCATACATTCTGTCTGTGTATAACACTTTCATTACTGGACCATATCTGAAGAAGCCTTTGAGCTATTGAAATGAAATTTTATATCACAGCTCCCTTTGTCCTAGTTTTCTTTGAACTTTTGCAAGGAAATTTTATATCATAACTCTGAAGGACCCTATGGATTTGAGGTTAAAAGGTCAAGGTCAAACAGTCATAACTTGCATAAAATGGTTTCCTGATGATAACTTGTTTTCTTTGAGGATTGCAATGAAAGGACAAGGTATGGTAATGGCGGAATCTGGCCCCTTATTTGATGTAAAAATCAGAACACAGTTAAAATTGTGATAGTTTGTAGTTAAGAACTTAAATTGATGCTTGTTTTTAAAACCAGCACTAATTTTGATTCAAGGCTTACACGGAGGCCACAAGGGGGTGCAAAAGTAGGATTTTTTCCCGAATTTCCTCAGTGATGATCGAATTTCGTGAAATTTGAGATACTTTTCACTTTGGGAAACATAAAGCACAAGCTTGCCTATCTAAGATTTTTATACATAAGATGCATCTGATACCAGTGTATGAAATATATAAATTTGATAGATAGGCAAGCTTGTGCTCTATGTTTTCTGATCCAAAATGTGCTGTAAAATCGATGAAAATTTGCATAAAAATGAGAAAATTTGGAAATTGACATATTTTCCGACCTTCCTGTGACCTCTGTGTATCCCATAACTTAGAACCAATACTCATTTTGTGGCAGGGGTGACAATAGGTTTTTAACTGATAAACTGTTGCATCACTCTAAAAGACACCCCAAACCAGGGGCCAAAAAGGGGTCTTAGCCTATCTTGTCCTTTCATACTGATAGTCAATATGACATAAAAAATCTGTTAATTTTGAGGCCAAAAGGTCAAAGAAAAGTCAGAAATTCATATGTCATACAAGTTACTTTTAAGTTCATAATTAGCTTTTGCAATGAAACTTAGGTCCTAAATTTCTTGAACTTTAAATTTCTTTGACTTGAAGGCCAGAAGCTGAAAGGTCAAGGTCTAACTTTTTTCTTTCTCCATCTGCATTTCTTTGAGGTCTCCCACCCTTTCCTTTTTTCGTAAGTGGGGGACACAAATTCCTTGAATTAGCTTGTCTTAAAATTATCTTTATCCTGAGCATATAGGAGACCACATTTACGGTATGAGTATGATAATAAACAGAGACTTCACCAGTAAGTAAAACTCGTGTTATGTGAATCAAGAGATCAAGATAAAAAAAAACCCTGATGAAGTGTTAGTCATAGCCCTAGAAAACTCATATTTAGGTGACCTTCAATGCCCACTGGCTTCCTGTTTGATAATTTGATTTTTTTTTCTTTAAAGCACAGACACCTTAATTCAGGAGACCATTAGAACCAGGTTCATGAAGTGCACAGTTCTAACAGTGGCCCACAGAATTCATACTATCATGGACTCGGACAGAGTTATGGTGACTATCCAATCAAACACTTCTCAACATATATTTAATAATCTTTTTGTTTTCTAGGCTAAGCTCTTAATATATATATTAAATGACATTTCAAAAAAGGAAAATCTCAAAAAACTGTCTCATTTTGGTTTTTCTTGGTGAATCTGAATGCCGAGGCAGCTGAGCTCAGATGATGCAAATTGTCTAATGTTTCAAAACATTTATTATTCCAGGTGTTGGAACATGGAAAACTCGTTGAATTTGATACACCTTACAAACTACTTCAGAGGGAAGATGGATTCTTCACAAATTTGGTTCAGCAAACTGGAAAGGCCCAAGCAAAACATTTACTGACATTAGCTGAAAAATACCACAAGGAAAGATCATGATAACTGCATATTTTTGGTATATAATAAAGGGGAAAATATGTATTTGAGTGATGTGTCTTTTATTTAAATAAGCCCTTTTTCAATTACATGTACTTCCCTTGCCATACCCATCAGTAAAAGAAACTAGACATACCAAAGTTCTACTGTTTGAGCAAAGGGAGGCATGATAAATTGATAAAAAAAACTTAATTAAAAATTAAAAAAGTAAGTTGTTTTTGCCTTTCTTATGATATGTAGTGAAATGTATGTTCGACTCATTTAAAATGCCTTACTTTTTAACCATTTTCATGTCTCCCTTGAATAAATTTTTGTTTCCACCTGTAGATCAATAAGTTGTACAGTAAGCCAAGTGTTGTCTGATCAACATCATGAGAAACCTTGTTTGACTGACATCAAACTTAGTACAAAAGTAGATGATTCCTATTAAATTTGAGGTAAGAAGGTCAAGGGAAAAACTCGATATAGGAAAATATTGTCCAATCAATATCTTCAAACCCTTTGCATGACTGCCATCAATCTTGGCACATTGGTTCTCCACAAGAAGTAGATTCCCTTTTTATTCCACCTATTCCCACTTTTAAAAAATCAGGTAGGAAAAGTAAAATTTTATGTGGGTATAGGTGGAATATGTGTGTATACAAATAATTAACTGTATAAACATATAATTACTGTATAAGCAGTGATTAATTAACTCTTGTTAGAATGGAGGACAGGTGTTTTCTGTCTTGAAGCATACAAATTATGGGTTTATTCCACCTAATACAGGTAAATCAAGGTCTCTGCATTTCATTCCCAGAATATTGCATAGTATTTCTGACACTTTTTAATTAGGTCACCTTAGTTACTCAGGTGACCTATTGCTATCCGTTCTCGTCCGTCGGCGTGCGTCGTGTGTTAACATTTGAACATTTTTAGCTTCTTCTCTGAAACCGCTTAACCAATTTCAACTAAATTTGGCATATAGCATCTATGGGTGAAGGGGAACGAAAATTGTGAATTTCATGGTCCCTGTCCCCCTGGGGCCTGAGGGGTGGGGCTAAAACCACCAAAAATAATGCAATCTTTAAAAATCTTCTTCTTTACTCCTGGACATCAGCAGTCAAACAGTTGGCATCATTGTAATAAGCATTGAGCCCTCTACCAAAATTGTGAAATTCATGGCCCCAGGGTCAGGGGTTCTGGCCCCAGGGTGGGGCTATATAGATCATATAGTGAAAGTGCATTATTTCTTTGAAAATCTTCTTCTCTGCTCCTGGGTATTAAATAAAGTAACTAAGTACATGGTTATGAAGAGCAAGAGTGCCTCTTTCAAAATTGTGAAATTCATGTCCCCAGGGTCAGGGGTTCTGGTGTTAGGGCAGGGCTCTATTGATTATATACTATTAGTGAAAATGCATTAATTCTTTGAAAATCTTCTTCTGTGCTCCTGGGTATTAAATAAAGTAACTAAGTACATAGTTATGATGAGCAAGAGTGCCTCTTCCAAAATTGTGAATTTCATGACCCCAGGGTCAGGGGTTCTGCCCCCAGGGTGGGGCTATATAGATCATTAAGTGAAAGTGCATTATTTCTTTGAAAATCTTCTTCTGTGCTCCTGGGTATTAAATAAAGTAACTAAGTACATAGTTATGATGAGCAAGAGTGCCTCTTCCAAAATTGTGAATTTCATGACCCCAGGGTCAGGGGTTCTGGCCCCAGGGTGGGGCTATATAGATCATATAGTGAAAGTGCATTATTTCTTTGAAAATCTTCTTCTGTGCTCCTGGGTATTAAATAAAGTAACTAAGTACATAGTTATGATGAGCAAGAGTGCTTCTACCAAAATTGTGAATTTCATGGCCCCAGGGTCAGGGGTTCTGGTGTTAGGGCGGGCTCTATTGATTATATAGTGAAAATGCATTAATTCTTTGAAAATCTTCTTCTCTGCTACTGGAGATTATTTATAAACAAACTAAGTGCATGGTTATGATGCATAAGGATGCCTTTTCAAAAATTGTGAATTTTATGGCCCCAGGGTCGGGGTTCTGGTGTTAGGACGGGGCTCTATTGATTATATAGTGAAAATGCATTGATTCTTTGAAAATCTTCTTCTCTGCTACTGGAGATAATTTAAACAAACTAAGCGCATGATTATGATAGGCAAGGATGCCTCTTCCAAAATTTTAAATATATGGCCTCAGTTTTTGGGGTTCTTGAGGAATGGGGGGGCTCTATTGATTATATAGTGAAAAAGCAATAATTCTATTAATTAATCATTAATTAATCCTGTCTGCTCCTTAGCGTTGAGCTGATAAATAAATTGCTTAGCTATGATGAAAATGGGAGCTTTGAACAGAATTTTTAAATCTTGTGGTCCTAGAGTCAGGGGTTCTGGCATAACGAGGGGGGGGGGGGCTTTTGATAATATAGTGGAAAAGTGTTAATTCTTTGAAGTCCATAGTTATGATGATGAGGGTAACTCTTCCAAGTTTGTAAATTTCTTGACCCTTGGTCTTGGGTTCTGGTGTTAGGGTAAGGCTTTGTTGAATCTGTAGTGAAAATGCATTGTACCTGTGAAATTCTTCTCTGCTTCTGGGCATATCAGAAGAAAACTGAGTAAAAGTTTAAATGATATAAGTAAACATATTTCTACCAGATTTTTGAACATCTGGACCATTTGTCTAAGCATTCTAGTCCTGGGCAGGGCTCTATTAATTTGTATTCTACTGAGAGAAGTTATTCCCCTTTTCCATTCACCTTTGATAATTAATCACTGTAAATAATGTACTTGAAAGGTTAATAGAATAAGATAATTATGCAAGAATGTTTATCATATAATTCAAAAAGTATTTTCTTAGTTTTAATAATCAGGTAGACCTGTAAGTAATAGATAAATAAAAATGAGACAAAAATAACTTATTAAAAGTTCTTCGAAGACCATAAGAGAGGTCAATGCTAGAGGTCTTAATATGGGTTTAAAAATAGTACAGAAGCACTAATAGTTTGTTAATAGTCTGCATGGTGATAGTGTTAAGTGGGGGACAGATTAGAACTGAATTTATGAGTTGATACTGAATACTAGACTAATTATTTTGTTGATCCTGATCTTCCTACTTCTCTTGCTTTAGGGCAACAAAGCTTCATCTATCAGTGTACAGTGTATTTAACTTCTAAATTGTTGTATTATACTCAGGTGACCGTTAAGGCCCTTGGGCCTCTTGTTTCATTTCCAACAATTTTGTTTTCATCCGACATTTATTTTTTTTCATTTCCATAATTTTTGCAGGGTACCTCTCTGGCAATTTAATGTTAACCAAGTAGGTGGAAATGGAATTTTAAAAGAATTATTTTATTTCAAACCACATTTTCGAAATATGGCTTATAATTTCCATCCTAACATATCTGATTTTAAACTTCAACTGAAAATTTGAAGAGATGAGTGAAAGTTCACAACACTAACAAGTGTCCCGGGGAAAGAAAAAAAATCTTATCATTTTCGCTTCATTGATAGCTAAGCAAAACTCATTATTTAGATTTCAATGATTAATTCATGATTTATTCTTTAAAATTTTTATAAGTGAAGTTCTCAATCTTGCTTTCATTGCCGAAAAGTACTACCTGAAAAATGTCGGAGATGAAAACTTGAAAATGTAGGAAATGAAAACGATAAAATGTCGGAAAAAAACCCATGAAAATTTCAAAAAAATTCCGGATATGAAAATTAATGCAGCCATCAAGGTGGTAATTAAAGTGCTTGAAAAACAAATTAACTATTAAAACATCTATTGTTATTTGCAAGTGGGAATAGGTAGAATTGAGACTTTTAAAAAGTGGGAATAGGTGGATGACACCAGTATTTTCACCAAGAACCGATCAAATCTGCAACCCTACATGTCATAGCCAGAAAGTGTACTTCTAGCACGAATAGTGAAGTAGGATACAGGTATCAGTAAGCAGAGATATCACTGTGTGCCGTCATACTTTAACATAGAACTAAGTTCATCTCCCCGGGCATATGTGGGGTTACACATAGCGAAAAATGGAAAGGCATCATTTTTTATGTTAATAATTAAATGAATGATTGAATCGAAGCCATCTTTATGCATACACTGTTAAAAGAAGCCAACACTTGTGAAAATCCAGGATTTAGGCAGATGCAGCTTGGGGCTTTGCTGGTCATGTATAAAAAAAATCATTTCAAATTTGAAAATCTTTTTCTTTCCTCTTGGAAAAAAGCAGGCAAACTATTTGCATGGGTATAATGAGCAATTGGATACAGTCCACTAATTGTTTTCACTAAGGCGTCAATGTTAACGTTTTCTTCACATCAATTTTCGTTCAGAATATTGAGTCACTCCTCAAATCAAAGCACATCAAGTTGTCTTTCCTTGGTTAAAACCTTGACCTTGCATGTCTGATTCGTTTTCCCGCAAAATGCTTTGAAAATGAAAATGAAAGTAGGGGAATTCTAAAATTCTCACTGGTGTTATAATACTCAAATAATTCAGCTAATCCTCTTGATAAATTTTAAAGAAACTTTTTCTTGCACTACTTTCTTCCCTACCGATTCTAAAAATAATTAGAGGTATGCACCCAATTAGCCTTCAAACAAAATTGTGAAATCCATGTCTCTTGGTAGAGATGTCTGGCATCAGAGAAGGACTAAGTTGGTTTTTAACTTTGAAAATATATTATGCATTTAAAAAATTTTTCCTGGATATTTAACAAGTTATTCGAAATAAAAGGCGTGATTAATATTACGCCTTTTATTTCGAATAACTTGTTAGATATCCAGGAAAAATTTTTTAAATGCATAATATATTTTCAAAGTTAAAAACCAACTTAGTCCTTCTCTGATGCCAGACATCTCTACCAAGAGACATGGATTTCACAATTTTGTTTGAAGGCTAATTGGGTGCATACCTCTAATTATTTTTAGAATCGGTAGGGAAGAAAGTAGTGCAGGAAAAAGTTCCTTAAAATTTATCAAGAAGATTAGCTGAATTATTTGAGTATTATAACACCAGTGAGAATTTTAGAGTCTTTTGAAATGTCGTAATACCGGTAACGCCTGGAACATACTAAAGACCTGACCTACTAAAGACCTGACTGACCTGACCAACAAAAAATTCTCCAAAAATCAATATTCTGAGTTTTTGTATCAATTTTTTCATGATAATTTCTTAATCATAAGGTGCAATTCAATTGAATAAAGGTTTATTCAATCATTTTTACCAACTTTATTGTCATTTATCAATTCATTTCATGAACATTTAATGACTTGACCAAATTTGATATGACCTGACCAAATGAAAATCATTCATAATTGTTATCTTTTTAAAAATATTTGATACATTTTTAACATATATTCTCTATTATAGGGATTGATAGTTTAGATAAAATGTTTTTAGAAACATTTTTACCAAATATTTAGTCTTTATCCATTCATTTCATGAAAATTTAATGACATGACCAAAATTAAAATGACCTGACCAAATGATAATCATTCATAATTGTTATCTTTTTAAAAATATTTGTTACATTTTTAACATATGTTCTCTATTATAGTGATTGATAGTTTAGATAAAAGGTGCTTTAAATAAAATTTGTCTTTTGTTTAATTTTCCATTTATAATTAAATTATTAGTAAGTACATGTAATATCAAGTTTTTATAACTTTACCTGACCAGTGTAGATACCTAACCAATCTGACATGAATATATAAAGACCTGACCAATGTAACAAACTAAATTTGAAATAATTTGAAAAGGCGTAACAACGTTTTTAGCTCACCTGAGCTGAAGGCTCAAGTGAGCTTTTCTGATCACATTTTGTCCGTCGTCCGTCCGTCCGTCTGTCTGTCCGTCCGTCTGTAAACTTTTCACATTTTTGACTTCTTCTCAAGAACCACTGGGCCAATTTTGACCAAACTTGGTACAAAGCATCCTTGGGTGAAGGGGAATTTAAATTCTTAAAATGAAGGGCCAAGTCCCCTCACAAGGGGAGATAATCAAGAGAAGACAAAAATAGGGTGGGGTCATTAAAAAATCTTCTTCTCAAGAACCACTGGGCCAGAAAAGCTGAAACTTATATGAAAGCATCCTGGGGTAGTGTAGATTATAAATTGTTCAAATCATGACCCCCGGGGGTAGGGCAGGGCCACAATAGGGAATCCAAGTTTTACATTGAAATATATAGGAAAAATCTTAAAAAATCTTCTTCTCAAGAACCACTGGGTCAGAAATATTGAAACTTATATGGAAGCATCCTGGGGTAGTGTAGAATCTAAATTGTTCAAATCGTGACCCCGGGGGTAGGGCGGGGCCACAATAGGGAATCCAAGTTTTACATTGAAATACATAAGAAAAATTTTTACAAATCTTCTTCTCAAGAACCACTGGGCCAGAAAAACTGAAACTTATATGGAAGCATCCTGGGGTAGTGTAGATTATAAATTGTTCAAATCATGACCCCCCGGGTAGGGCGGGGCCATAATAGGGAATCCAAGTTTTACATTGAAATACATAAGAAAAATCTTTACAAATCTTCTTCTCAAGAACCACTGGGCCAGAAAAGCTGAAACTTATATGGAAGCATCCTGGAGTAGTGTAGATTATAAATAATTTAAATCATGACCCCCGGGGGAAGGGCGGGGCCACAGTAGGGAATCCAAGTTTTACATTGAAATATATAAGAAAAATCTTTAAAAATCTTCTTTTCAAGAACCACTGGACCAATAAAGCTGAAACTTATTTGGAAGCATCCTGAGGTAGCGTAGATTCTAAATTGTTCAAATCATGACCCCCGGGGGTAGGGCGGGGCCACAATAGGTATATTAAAAGGGTGGAAATCTGGTAAAGAACAGCATGGCCAAAGTTACTCAGGTGAGCGATGTGGCCCATGGGCCTTTTGTTTGTTTTTGTTTTTGTTTTTGTTTTTTTTTTTTTTTTTTTTTTTTGCGTTATATTAAAAGGCGTATTACGCCTTTTTAATTTTTTTTCTATAGATTTGATCCTAATAGGTTTTCGTAGTTCTCTTCTTAGAGAGATGTCTAATGCTGGTTTCTGTGTGAATTTCACTATTTTGTCGATTGTTTTCATATGCACAATTCATTCCTGTGTAATATAGACTAAACCGACCAGTATAATGGTGAAAGATACGTGTTTATAATGCAAAAGTAATAAGCGTTTATTCTCAAATTATTATTGAGCTCGGTGGGCTTTCATACGTGATAACAAATGCCAGTTAGCAATTTTAAACAAACAACATACATGATACCACATCAGGTATTATAGACTGTCTCTATCTTATAGTGCATATCAGACAAGGCCAGTGTAAGGTATGTTTATTTGAAAGGGCTCTATATAGACAGAACTAATGTATAATTTAAAAATAAATTAGAAAACCCGTACGTAGGAACCGGCAGGGGGAGACAGGGAAGTGTCCCCAATAATTTTGCCAGTAAATAGTTTTATCCTGCAACTACCCCTTGCACTGACCTATTAAATGTAACCTATTATTATACCTCATTATAATTATTCTATACTACTCGTTATCTAATTAGTTTAAGATTATCACGTGACAGGGTCATAAAACTTCATATTTCCCTGTTGTCCTCATTCTTTTCATCATATTCAACCTCTTCGGAGACCTAGTGCATTTTCCCGCAATAGGCCTAAGTTATCGTTCATTGAACGAAATGTAGCGTTTCCGAGTAAATCCTCTTCACATTCATATTTTGGTAGCTCTCAATCATAATTCCTCTTTGTAATAAAACACAAAATAACGGTAAAATGTTTATTAAATCCAAATGAAAGTAAAATATAATCCAAATCAATGTCACAAAGTATAAATCCAGAAGAATTGAATGAAAGGCACTTAAAATAATTATTCCAATGTAACTCAAGTTAAATTCCCATTATTAAACTACTCTTTCAAATTACTCCCCTCTCATTATAAAATGAGCCTGCTTATATAGTTTATGACTCCTCTTACTCCTCCTAATGTTCCCCTAAAAAAAGTAAACTAAGGTCAAGCTATAAAGTCTAAACACTATAAATCACTACCATTGTATAAAACCTCCTCCTAACCTATAATTAACAGCTCCCCATGACCTGTTCGCAGTCTGGGTCAAGACATTGATAAACAATCTAGTCTAAGAATAAAAGTAAAATAATAAAAACATACTAATCTACTGAATAAGAAAAGTAAATATAAAAAAATAATAAAGATAAAAAAAATAATTATGCTACAGAAAACGCCCGAGAGTAGTAGACGTCACAATAGCCTGGTTCACGTCACAAATTTTAAATTGCTAATGGACTACGTTAAAAACTGAAAATGAATTTAAGAGCATTGCCGAATATGAAATTTTATGTTTATTTTTAAAGTTTTTACTTGTTTCGGTATAATAAACAATTTATTGCATAAATGTTCGGGAAACATGAAGACCAAAAAATATCATATCCCCCCCCCCCCCCTTGGCGAACCCTCGGGGAATATGATTTTTCTTGGCTGCATAAATCTTCAAATTTCCTTCATGATCATGCAATAAATGTATAATAAACCAAAGCTTTATTCGGTCAATGCCCTAATAAAGCCTCATGCATGTATTCCAACGTTCTAAAGCATTGTGAACGTTATACACATTGCAATGTTTATGCCATGGCGTCTTAGTTTCAGCTGCAGAGGTTGAAAATAGCTCGTTTTGGAGGTCTGATGTAAAAATATATTGCAGGATAAACAAAATACATGGATATTGTCTTGAAATATAAGCAATATTTGGGCTCGGGTCGAAAATGTGATAGAGGGCTCGGCAAGCCTCGCCCTCTATCACATTTTCTTACCCTCGCCCAAATATCGTTTATATTTCAAGACAGTTAAGCCTTGTATTTTATATATACTGATTTTTCTTTGGGGGGATATTTTCAGCAAAGGGCACCGTTACCACCCATTAAGCTCCCGGTAAAAATGTTCAAAAACAACAAACAGAAATCAGAGCATATTGCTGATTATGCATGATATGTGTTTCAAGACATGCAGATAATGTGTTCAATTAATTTGCTGTATCTTTGACTCAAACTAGAAATATTTCAATAGGACATGAGTGCCCCGCCCAGGATTCATTAGTAATGCAACATGAGTGTATGAAATCTGATGAAAATATTTTGAATAGTTTCTTTAAAACTGAGTTTTATACACAATAAATAGTAGTCAAAGTCATTGGGAAGGTCAAGTTAAAAAAAAAATTGAACACATTTGTATCAGTGTACGAAAGCCTAGAAGGGTCAAATAATAAAATAAAAAAAAAATAAAAAGTCGTAATAACGAGATAAAAAGTCGTTATTACGACGTAAAAAGTCGAAATAACGACTTTTCATCTCGTTATTACGACTTTCTTAAGTCGTAATAACGACTTTTTATCTCGTTATTACGACTTAAGATTCTTAAGTCGTAATAACGACTTTTTATCTCGTAATATTTACATTTCCAATGTCTTTGTCCGAGATAAAATTACAAATTGTAAAAATACTTTATTTCTACATAAATCTACTGGTTCATCGATAGGCGCGGTTAAAAAAAAAATCACGTGCGGGGCGGGACACATAGAGACAGAAGCGGGGCTATTAGCACGGGAATTTGAAGAATCAGGAGCATGTAAATATAAGGAATAACTGTCAGATTTTTTGGATTCATGACGATGATAAATCGATTGGCTTGCGTGATAATTTTATGCATAAACGCCTTCGGCGTTTATGCAAATTATCACGCAAGCCACTCGATTGATCACATCATGAATCCAAAAAATTAGACAGTTATTCCTTAAATAACGACTTTTTATCTTGTAATAACGACTTTCTTAAGTCGTAATATTAACGACTTTTTATCTCATTATTACGACTTTCTTAAGTCGTAATAACGACTTTTTATCTCGTTATTGCGACTTTTTATCTCGTTATTACGACTTTCTTAAGTCATAATAACGACTTTTTATCTCGTAATAACGACTTTTTATCTTGTAATAACGACTTTCTTAAGTCGTAATAACGACTTTTTATCTCGTAATAACGACTTTCTTAAGTCGTAATAACGACTTTTTATCTCGTAATAACGACTTTTTATCTCGTAATTACGACTTTTTAATTTTTTTTTTTATTTTCTTATTTGACCCTTCCAGGCTTTCGTATCAGTGCATTAGCGTACATAAAAAATATTTTGAATAGTTTCTTTGAAACTTAGCTAAACACTAATTTAAGAAAGTAAAGTCAAGGTCAAAGGAAAGGTCCAAGTAAAAAAAAATTGATGCAGCTCTCATCAATATACATATAAGGTTTGATTTAAAATAATTTAAGTTTGTTTGAAATTGAGATAGGCCTAATCATTAATTAAAAAAAGTAAGGTCAAGGTCAAAAGAAAGGTCAAGCTAAAAAATGTTGATGCAGTTGAATAGCTCTCATCAATATGTATCATCATTCATATACAGTTTGGTATAGATATCTTGAATAATTTCATTTAAACTTATTTAAACACAAATTTAAGAATAGTGAAGTCAAGGTCAAAGGAAAGGTCCTGGTCAAAAAATGTTGTTTAAAGTCAAATAGATGTCATCAGTATGTGTTAGCATATAAGGTTTGATAAAAATATCTTGAATAGTTTCTTTGAAACTAAGCTAAACACTAATTTATGAAAAGGAATGTGAAGGTAAAAGGGTAGGTCAAAAAATATTGATGCAGTTGAATAGCTCTCATCAATTTGTTTCAGCATATGAAGTTTGAAAAAAATATCTTGAATATTTTCTTTGAAATTGAGCTAAACACAAAGTGTGATGGAAGGACAAGGGTAGGCTGGAAGGATGGAATCTCACTATATGCCCCAGCCATATTCATGGCAGGGCATAAAAATGTTAAGAATGATCAAATTGATTACAGGTTGAGTATGCATTGTAGGCTTCAATTGAGACCTATAGCTTTACTGGGGGAGTAATCTCACACTGGAATTTGGACAACGAATTTGGAAAATTTTCACGTTTGAACACATGAGGCTTTTATTTTATTACATTGCCTCTTATTTTATTAAATCATCAGATGATTTGTCAATCTCTACTTTAAAAAATCATAAAATTACATCATAGATTTGTTTTTTATGCCCCCGCCATAAAATGGCTGACGCATATAGTGTTACCCTGTTCCATCATTCTGTCATTCCGTCATCATTCACTTTCCGTTCATTATCTTTGCAAAAGTTTCACACATTCAACTCAAATTTGACATATGGATACATCATAGGAATACGCAGGTCGAGTTTGAATTTGGTCATGGTCCAATGATTTTTGACAGAGTTAACCCTCTTGAACTTAGAAAAAAATAAGAAATTTTCAGTTTCCGCTCTCTAACTTTTGTAGGGATGTATGTATAAGGTTGAAATTGCATATGCAGGTATATTACCAGAAAATACAGGCCAAGTTTGAATTTGGTTATGTTCCAATGATTTTTGACAGAGTTATCCCTCTTGAACTTAGAAAAAAAAGAAATGTTTAGTTTCCACTCTAATTTTGTAGGGATGTATGTATAAGGTTGAAATTGTATATGCAGTAATTTTACCAGAAAGTATGGTTCAAGTTCGAATACAAATTTTAAACTAAATATTGCATTTGAAATTTTGGCTGCTTGCGGGGGCATTCGTGGCTTTATCGACACATCTAGTGATATTTTTATTTGTGGTAATTTGATTTTCAGCTTGTGATGGTGACACTGCATCCATTGTGCAAAAATGGCAGAGGGAGACAATGTTGAAGACCCAGATATTGTGTATGCTCAGCATTTTATTGAATGTGAGCTTTGCTCCAATATAGTGAGTCTTCATTGTACTGTTTGTAAAGTCAGTCTCTGTGGTGAGTGTATAGGTGCTCATGTAAATGCTAAGCCCACACAGGAACACAACATTGTATCTTTTAAGCTGAGGGCATCCATACCAATTCTTCCACCATGTACTAGTCATAAAAATGAGAAATGCAATTTGCTTTGCACTAAATGTCAAATTCCAGTTTGTGTGAACTGCATAACACTTCAACACAAAGCTCACCCTGCTATAAAACTGGAAGATAAATGCAAGCAAAAAAGCCTTGAAATAGAAATGGAAAGTGAATCTTTGGAAAATAATGTTTGTAAGAATCTGGAGGACACAATTGCTAAAATGCAAAAAGAACTGGATGAAGTTCATGTAAAATATGAAAAAATGCAAACGGCAGTCACTGACCATGGAAGAAAATGGCACAATGAAGTGGACAGGACAGTGCAAAAGTTCTCTGAAGAAATAAAGAGTATGGAAAATCGAGACATTACACTCTTAGAGAAACAAATAGAAGAAAGCAAAGCCCTTCTTAGGGCACTCCGTGTCCACTGTAAAGAAGTAAAGAAGTTTGCGAATTCTCTTGATTTAAAAGATATTCTTGATTATCAGTTAAGAAAGGAAACATCACATCGTTTCAACTTTTCTTTAACTATGCCCTCATTTACCCCCACAAAAATCAAAGAGAATAAAATGTTTGAAACTTTTGGCAATCTTTTTTCCCAAATACCACTACAGGTAAAATCATTTGCTTCAAAACAGGAAACTATACGCAAATTATGCAGTAGATCAACGGTCTGCAAGTCTGTGGAAACCAGTGTTGATAACATTTGCAATCTTGTGTGCGTCAATGACAATACTGTCTGGCTGAATGGTGAAAGCAATACAATGATATGCTTTAAGGATACTGGTGTTGAAATTGAAAGACATATAGCAAAGTTGGGAATCAAACCTACCAACTTGGCCATTACCAGACAAGGAGATTTGATTTATGCCATCTATGATTCATGGCATAGCTGTGTTTACATAATTACCAATGGTAAAACCAAAGAATTGATCACGTTTGTGGACTGGAAACCGATCGGAGTTTGTTGCACAGCAGACGATAAATTCCTTGTCTCCATGGAAAGCAAGGATGAAACTCAGGTCAAAATTGCTCGCTTCTCAGGCTCGGAAATAATACAAGAAATTCAGTATGATGACCATCATCAACCTCTCTATGAGGCTGGAAAATATTACATTCTGGTGGAAGAAAACAAAAACCTTGATGTCTGTGCATCAGATCCAAACAAAAATGAAGTGGTTGTCACCAACAAAAATGGAGCTTTTCGATGGAGGTACAAAGGAAATCTGCAGACTGGAAAGTTTGAGTCCTTTTCTCCGAGTTTCATATGCTCAGATAGCCATAGCCAACTTTTAGTCATGGACACAGATAATGAATGTGTTCATTTGCTAGATATGGATGGAGTTTTCATAACATACATTACACATCCAAACATCCACGGTATTGGTGCCATGAGTTTGGACAGAAGTGGAAGATTATGGATAGCCAATTACAAAGGGGGGCAGATTAATGTTTTCAAATATCTGCAATAGTTAACAATCACTATAATTTTTCAGCTAGATCAGAGATAATAGTAAATGGTTCCATTTGTATTCATATTCTTTAGTACAGTAAAACTTGGTTATAACAAGTCACTGGGACCTGTGAAATTACTTCACTATATCCGTAATTCGTTATATCCGTGTAAGGAATTCGTTAAATTTTATATAGCTGGGCATCGTGAATTCGCAATATCTGTGTTCGTACTAAATGAGTTTTACTGTATCATGATACTTGCATCAGAAGAAACTTCAGAGACATTACATTGGGACAGAACACCTCCCTCCCACCCCTTTCCAACAAAATACACACAATTTCCACAAATGTACAACAGGCTATGTTTGATTTTGTTGATTGGAATTACTGAAAAAAAATGAAATTTTCAATTATTTACTAGCAATGTACAAAGGATTACCTATAATAGCAGAATTGGTCATCTGGGTGTATTCTTATTAAAATGAATTTAATAAAGTGTACTGTCACAGGGTATGATATACCTGTCAAATATTGTTCAATTATCATAAACAGTTTAAAATGCAGGGCAGAAAATCATGTCAACCTTGATACAAAGACTTCAATGAATTTTCCATTCCTAATGTTTGATGTGCATCTCCTGTGTAGGTATTAATTAGAACAAATAATACATCATACATACAGTCAAACTTCGTTATCTCGAACTAAATGGGACCGAGAAAAAACTTAGAGATATCCGAGTATTCAACATATCCAGGGTAAAAATAAGGGGTTGGGACATCCAAATCACTTCAACATATCCATGGTAATTGAGATATCAGTTTTCGAGAAGTTCAACTGTATTTCTTAACTGGTTGTGTTAAGAGTTTTACAAATACCCATCTGCAGTTTTGTTCATTGTATTTTTTTATGAATGATTATTATAATAATGCTACAGCCTAATAAAACATCAAAACACTAATCATTATGCTTATTCTTTAGACTATAAAATTGTCATCTTAGTAAGACATGACACTCTGTAATTTGTTGTAGAGATATAAAAATTAAAAGAAATTATATCATACAATTATATCAAAGGATGACTGCACTTAACGCCTGTTTTTGGGTCTTTTTTGGTTGCTTCTGTTGCTTTTATATCTAAACCTTATCTCACTTTTGTATGTTTATGAAAGAATACTGTCAATTTGGAACCACATTTAAATCTTAAAATGATTTTAGACTGTGATACAATAAAATGATTCAATGTTTTTTGTCCTCACTGCTTTCCAAATATAGTGAATTTACACTTACATGCCCTTGATTGAACATTAGATATGCATGAGAGGTGGAGCTAACATTGTATGAATGGGTCTAAAATTAGACTTGATAAATAACAATGACATGTTTGGAAAAGCGAACGTGATCACTCTTTCCAATCTCCCTCTCCATTCTGCATGGGACAAATACACTTCTGACAAAGGTTTCAAAACGAAATTAACAATATGAGCACGTCAATATAATCAAAGCAGATTTTATATCAATGCCATATATCAATGACTTAACGTGTTCGAACACAGTGTCCTAGTTAGCACAAAACATGCTACCTTACAAGTCACGTAATGAAATTTAGTATTCACAAAGTTACCTTAGGTAAGAAATCACGTGGTGAATTATAATATTCAACATGTCACAATCCTTGGTTACAACAGAGACAGCGAATGTAAGAAGAAGCAGTTTTTTCTCTTTTTAACCATGAGCACATGTTTGTCCATTAATCTCCTTTTGACACATTGTTATTTATGCAAATATACAACTACTGTTAAACGTAGAACAATAGACAAACATGCGCTGATTATGTATAAAGTCAGTAAAAAAGTGGGCATCCTCATTATCGAACGGAGATTCAAGAAATTGTGATGACCCCTGCCTTTGAAAACAGATTCGAACTTCGAAAATACACACTTTTATTACACGTAATTACATTAAGTTGTAGATTGGATGTTGACCATTCTTGCAATGAGAAGAAAAATGCTTGTTTTGAAAGTTTATTTTGTCACAAATTCCGCATGTCCTTAAGTGCAGTCATCCTTAGTTAGATTTTCCTATGTATTCCTATGTACCACTAAAACCATAGTGGCCCCACCCTACCCCCACGGTTGATTTGGACAAACTTAAATATACACTACTTGAGGATGTTTCCAACTAAATATGACCCATGAGCTTGCTGTTATTGAGAAAGAAGAATTCTAAAGATTTTCCCTATGTATTCCTATGTAAAACTTTGATCGCCTTTTGTGGACCCATCCTACCCCTAAGGGTCATGATTTGAAACAACTTGAATCTACACTACATGTACCTGAGAATGCTTTCATATAAATATGACTAATCATGACTTTGCATTTCTTGAAAAGAAGAATTTTAAAGATTTTTCCTTTGTATTGCTATAAGAAACTCTGATCACTCGTAGTAGCCCCACCCTACACCCTCAGGGTCATGATTTGAAAAAAAAAATTTGAATCTACACTAGAAGAATTTTAAAGATTTTCTATGTATTCCTATGTAAAACTTTGATTGCTCATATTGGCCCCATCCTATCCTCAGGGGTCATAATTTGAACAAACTTGAATCCACACTATGTCAGAAAGCTTTCATGTAAGTTTTATCCTTTCTTGGCCAGTGGGTCTTGAAAAGAAGATTTTTAAAAAATCCCATCCAATTTTCACTATTCCTTTTTAAAATTATCTCCCCTTGAAAGAGAGTGTGGCCCTTCATTTGAGAAAACTTGAATCCCCTTTACCCAAGGATACTCTGTGCCAAGTTTGGTTAAAATTGGTCAAGTGGTTCTGGAGAAGATGAAAATGCAAAAAGTTTACGACAACAGCAACAACGACACCGACAGACAACAGGCAAATTTTGATCAGAAAAGCTCATTTGAACCTTTAGCTCAGGTGAGCTAATAATTCTAGGCCTCATAGTATTAAAGTTATGAGCTGGACATGAAAAAGCTAACAGACAACAGACGGACATGAATGCCATAACATAATACGTCCCGTTCTTAAGACGGACGTATAATTAGAGAGTCTTAACATTGCAATAAATTGTTTGTGGATTGCTACATGTATTTGAATTGCCAGGCAAACTTATGGCTTTTAGAACTTTCAACTCGGAGCCTACTTTCAAATTTACAGTTAGCTGTACATTTTAAACAAATTGATCCAGAGTAATAAATATTTCCTTATTTCAAACATTTTTGCTTGATTGACACAACTAAGATAAGTTTTTTTTTTCCTTTAATTTTTCCTTTGCCCTCTTCATCCACAGATACTCTCAAGAAAAATGAAAATTTAAAAACTTGGAATGATTAAAAATGCAACGAGTAATCAATTCATTATTATTTCTTTATTACAGTATACTCTTAATAACTGCATAAAGGGTGACTATTTACATATAAATACTAGGTCACTCAGCTATAACAATTCACAACAAGTCAGTCTGAACACCAGCCATGACTACAAATGTCCTTTTCCTATACATAAGATTATGTTCCAACAACATCCAGTTACAGGATGAACACATCAGTACTGTGAACTACTGTCAAGTCCTGTGAGCTACAACATGGAAGTGTAAACATAAGATTTCTGAACTTATTTTCTCCTTTCTGTGGTACTACAAGAAAAAAAAATACCATTACATTTAGAATTACATGGACCATTGTAGAGAAAAGCAATATCCCATGAATCTTAAACTGTATAACAGTAATACTGCTGATTGATTAATGTAATCTTAGGTTGGCATTTCTGTAGAACTACAAAACACTGAGTGACTTACTGACATTCCAAAAAGAAAACAATGCACTGTTTCTTGTACGCATGTTCTATTTACAATCTTTAAAGTAACAGTTACATGTATCTGTCTTTAGCACACTTGTCCACTGCAATACCCGATATCAACTGTACGATATACAGAGGACAGAATTTTGCAACTATTGAATCACAGCAAGTTTTCTATAAAAATTGAAATAAATTACATAACTTTTATAAAATGGTGTAACTATCAAAGCACTTGTATACATAAACAATGTGTATAAATTAAATTTTAAAAAAAAACTTCAGGGGGGTTTCATTCCTCATGCAATAAACAATGGAGACAAAATTTGGCACAATTATAACCAAATACACATACAACTGTTGGTTCCCTGTCAAGAAATATCTCAGTTTATGTTAATACAGAAAATATTCAATTTTCATGAATTTGCATGTCTAAATAGTGCTTAGAATTATAGTACACATGAAACATTATCTGTGTTTATCATTTGTAATATTCAAATTGAAAGCATATATTAGTACCAAGGAATTTGCTATCAACCAAATCTTCATAAAGAAAACATTCTTGGAATAAATAATTATACATGTACAACCAATCGATCTCATTCAGTTATCACACATAACAATCGTAATAATCTGTAACACGTAATCCCAGAGGCTTGGGATTGGTCAAAATAACAATCTAAGTAACATAGCAAAATAACAATAAATTACACCTTGTACAGCCTTCGTAACATCTCAAGAATACACAAATTATGGATGTAGAGTGTATTAAGTAAATTCTATGGCATTTAGGAGACACCTCAACTTGTATGAAAGTCGCACAAAAATTGATAATGCATGTGAATATTCAATGACATCTGTTTATGGCCCTGTATGATAAATACACAGTATCACTTTTTAATTCATTGTAAATCTGACCACATCATGAAATGTGATGGAAAATCAGCAGAATTCAGATCACAGCACCACCTATGAACCACTACAACACCACCACACTTAGCTGTCAAATTCTAGCCGTTTCTTGTTGCCACCACGTGGTTTAATTTTCTCTGATATCTGCCATAAACTTTCCTCACTGAGATAGTCATCAAAGCTATTGAAACAGTTTATCAGCTTCTCATTCCTCTTTATTTGGTAGTTGCTACAAATTCAAAATATTCAATGAACATGAATTCTAAATATTCAATGAACATGAATTCTAAAGTATTCAAGCAAATTTTTATTAAACAACTTCTGGATCTGAAAAGATTTTTTTTAACATTGCTATTTTGGTTAAAATATCAATAAATGCACCTAAAATCTAGTCAAATGTATGAACCATTGTCATTGTATTACTACATGCATCATAATCAATACTTTACAATGAATTCAAATTTAAATTCTTTGTACCCACCATTTCTTAAATCTTCTCATATTGTCTAAGATGTTAAACTGTTGCCATCTTTTGGCAAAGTTAATGCTTCCATCTGGCAGCAAGTCTTGGTTTCCAATGTTGATAAAAGTCAAGTCTTGTAGAATCAGACCACTGCAAGAAGCGAATCAAATTGCAATAAATAAATCTCTGTCATTCAGATACTTGTTACGCAGTGAGAAGACAAATTTGAAAAAGTACATAAAAATATATCCACATTACATGTACTCTTACTTGGAAGCTACAGTAGTATCAATATTCATATGAAATCTTCTCATTGAAATCAGATAATATACCTATATCCATTTCTATTTTGTGAACAAAGCCCAGACTAACTTACATGTAGGGTATACAGGGTGGTTCTGTTTCAGCCAGCGCCTGCCGATAAGCTCTGAATGACCCTGAACTGTCAATCAACTGACAGAATTCTTTTAATGCCTGAATTAAAAAAATAAAACATAAGCGCCTGTAAATGTCATTAAATAAATGTAAAACAGGCTTATAATGAATTGTCGCTTACAGTGAAGCGATTTTCATTCCCTGTGCCTTTAAAATATTTTGTAAACTTAATGGATATAAAGAATTACACTTATAACGAAGCAAATTCGTCCGTCCCTGGCACTTTGTTATAAGCATTTTTTTACTGTATAATTTTTCAAGAGCTTGAGATACAAACCTCTAAGTTTTGCCTTGGCCACTCTAGTCGTCTGATTGGAGCTGAATCCACTGCTGACAGAATAGCAAGGTAAGAGTTGAAGTTGTTTAACTTCCGTAAATGCTGAAATGTAGAACATTTTTATAAAACTAGAGATTTATAGTTGGTGAGAAGGAACATCCATGACTATGTTGTACACATATAACAGAATAATCATCTACTATCATAGAGAAATGGAGACTGTTATCTTACCTTCATGATTTTGATGAACTTGAAGAAATATTTTTCTCTGTCTTTGGCTTCATCATGTGTCAGAATCTGGGTCCGACACCTAAAACATAAATTGGTAAAAATTACTGCCTATGCTTATAGTATTTGTTTTGTTCAAAACTACTTAAGTTTGTCTTTACCCCTAACCTCATATTAAATATAAATATATTGATGACTAAAGAGTCCATACCAGTAAGACATTTTGTTGAAGTGTTCTGTGAACTCTGTAAGATTAGGACTAAGCTCCTCAGACTGTTCTCTGGCCCATAGTGAAACTTCATGAATCTGAGAAAAGAGTTTATTTTATTAGTCCAGACCATAGGGGAAAAATTCTAGCAAACTTCATTGCATTTTGAATGAGCTTTGTCAAAAAATTACTTGCCAGAAGACAATAATACTATTCATCTCATCTGTTTTTCATGATCAATCATTTTACAATATATTTACAATACATGTACCTCTATTTTTTGGAAGAGCTCTGCATCTAAAAGGGTCATTTGTTCCGCAATGTCATGTGACTTGTAAAACAGAAAATCTGACGGACTGAAAAAACAACAACAATAAAATAGAATAAATCAAAGCAATGAAATCCAATATCCTGTGAAGTTAGTGCAGTACTTGAAAAAAAAATTGACTTTTATTTTTTTTTTTAAAGTAAAACATGCTTGTAGCAAGTCCCAGGGACGAATAAATTTGATTTGTTATAAATGTTATTTGTTATAACTTAGAATACATTTTAAAGCTACAGGCAATGAAAATCACTTCATTGTAAGCCTGAATTCATCATCAATATGTTTGCTGTTGTTTACTGTAATTATGTTCTGAAACAAACCTGGACTTGAGTGTGATAGAGGAAGTGAAAGTCATGGAGGAGAAGGGGTCAGGGGCCGTTTTCTTGCTCTCGCACTTCTCGATGACCTTCTTCCTCAATACCTTGGCTAGCATAAGATCACCCTGACACAGGAGTTCAAAAACCAAACTCATCATTTTCTCTGTTGTTGCCTGGTTCATCTCTTTTTGGCTGAAACAAAAGAGGGGTCATTGAGATCAAAACTTCTTCCTCCCATTACCACCAGAGTTGAGCAGAAATGACTCTCATCTAAGAGAGAAACCCAAAACTGATAAATCTCTATTGTTTTCCTCTTAAAATTCTTATCATCAAGAGGCCCATCGGCCTTAACAGTCACCTGAGTATCATGAAATTGTCAGGATTAAAGTGCAACATGCTTCCTGTGCAGTACCAGGAACGAACAATTTTGATTCGTGGTAAACATAATATTTTTACATCTGTAAAGTTTATAATATGTTTTATATAAATAGTGACACTTTACATGTGAATCCATCATAAAGGTGTTCACTATAACAATGTTTTACTGTACTGTCAATATTGCCACATAAGCTAGATTTGCTTCATCTCAATATTGCCGCCCATGGTAAGCTAGATTTGCTTTAAACCCTTCTGTTAACAGCACTGGGTCAAAATGTTCAGATCCATTTGCATGCAATATGGAATTTCACAGCAAATAAACAAAATACACCTTGTACTTTCTTAACCATCTGTATATATATATAACCAAGCATTTGTGTTTACATCAAGTTGAAACATTATTTCTTAGATGATAAAATTTGAGATGTTTTCCCTTGATTCATTCGAATACTGTAAAAAAGCCATTTGATTACAAACCTTAATTCATCAATGACCCTGATTAGAAGTGAGAAAGTGTTCCTGGCAACTTTCTTCTTTTTCTCACTGGCATGGTGGAATTTGTGGAAGCGGTACAGCAGTTTGTCGATGAGATCATGAGGAGAGATGAAGGTTCTGTAGGTGGTCAGAAAAGCCTCCTGGTACATGAACTCTACAAACACAATTTTTAATGTTCATTATTCAAAGATTTGGAATAAATCCACATACCAGCACATATTCTAATTTCTTGGGTTTAAATGTTTCATTCTAAAACAAAGAAAAGTAGATGATACATATGTAATATCAAATGATAACCCAAGGAATTTATTTATCAAGCAGATGAATTTTGTATGTTTTTGTAAAACCTAAGGATTCCTTTTGGATCAGAGAGGAAAATGAGTGAAACAAAGTTTTGAAAGCTGTGCTTTCCAAAACTAATGAAATATCAAAATTACAAAAACTATATGTATGTGTATTACATGATCAATATGTATCTTTGAAATTAAAAAGGACAGATACAGTCTTCAAATCAAACATGAATTTCGCATTTACCATTAATTTTACAAAAGAATCATGTTTTTTTTCATTTTCCCTGCTAAGCGAGAATTGCTCATCCTAGCTTTGCAATAGCAGACTGGTATACATGGTATAGCTGTATAGTGATCTAGCAGGGCATTGCAAAATACACATGTAGTTGAGGTACAGATCTAAATTATGGGAACAGATTACTATGGTTTACAATTATAACAGGGAATATGAGAGTGTAGACAGGTAGAAAGCTTTTTTTGTGTGTGTGCAAGGATACTATAACTAATGTTACAGAATTAAACATGCATACATCTGTGTGTAGAATTTTTTCTTTATGGGGGAAATAAATGATTCAGGTGATATAGCTATTGTTTACTACATAGAGATTTTGTTTTTTGTTCATTGGCTATTTTGTAACTGTGGATATGGTAATACAATGTAATCACAAACTGCAAAATGCATTTTTCAGACAAAATCTTGTTCATTTCTCTTTTTTTATGACAAGCAAAACATTTATAAAACCTTGTACTATTGGAGACAGACAAATCAGCAAGAGCAGACTATGCAACATCTTCATAAAGCAATCTAAAACAACAATATGGCAAAATGTCGACATGGACAACAATTTCATGCTCAACAACAATCAATACTTGACCACATCAAAACAAGGAAAACAAAAAAATAATGCTCAGATGTATCACATTTTCTGATTTTTCACAAAATTGTTAATATTTATAAATGTGAGATTCAAATATATATATGTAACCATTATATTTTTAAAGCAAAAAATTAATATCAACTGCCCATTATTGTCTTAAATTAATATCCCATCTTTCCAATCACTTTAAAATTATGGTGCATAATAATGTTTAGTTCAGTTAATTAATTCATGTTAATATCAAAATACTGGTAATGTAATACATAGCATCCAATTGTTCAAAAAACTAATTTTCCTACAAATCTTCAAATATCAAGAGCAAAGAGACAGATCACAATATCTATGTAATAAATGCAAGGTCTAAAGTTGACTGTACACTGTATTTGTAGAAAGACACTGGTTTCAAAATGCTAAACAGTAGAAAAATAGACAATAGAGATCAGTTGTTGAATATTCATACATTTTGATATTCAGATCTGAAATAAGAATCATGCGAAAAATCTGAAAATTTGAACACATGCATCTACTGAAGATTTTGGAACTGAAATGGCTTACTTCTAAATGTCAAAACTGAGCTATCCTTATAAAGTTTTTTTAGTAGCTACAGATATAAAAAAAATTCAGGAATATCTCTGTTTACGTCAAAGCTTCAACTGAAATCTGATCTAGTAAGCCATTTCAATGACCACTAAGTAACAAACACAGTGATAGGTGGACATTTAGGGATACAACTGTACCAATAAATTTGATTGGTTCACACTGAATATATGCAACTCACCCTCATCAGTCAAATCTTCTACTGAGCCTTTTTAGGAAATGGCAAAAATACAGATTGAAATAAATTGGGGTATGGTAAAATATCTTGCAGGATGGATATCTTTAAATTATACATAATTGAAATATGGTACATTTAAACTCCATTTCCAAACAAAGAAAAAAAAGCCAAGCAATTATTTTATCTTGCTACGCTGGGATCAAATTCTTGGAAATATTTTGGTATTATATGAAAGCACCTAACTGCTACCTGCATGGTGAAATACATTAGAACACACATGTGTAGCTATCAGAGAGTCTAGAATTATTCTCAAGCTGTACAGATAGGCTTCAACTATGAACAATACCTTGTTTTCCCACAGATGTTGCATGGACAACAAGAGCATCCACAGAACCCCCTCTGATCTCGGGACCTTCTTCCCCCTAAAAACACACAAGGTTACCAATACATGAATTTCTCTTTAAAAAACACATCATATTATACAAATATGTTCATAGTTTTAGTCTTTTCACAATGTCTACAGATTGTTTAGTAATGTAAATACTTTCTCATTAAGCAAACTTTCATGTAATACAGATATTATCAGAAACAGAATAGAACTCTGTACCTCAGATTTTTTGATGAGTTGATCAGACACATCAACATCATCCAGGGGATTAAGTTCAGCGAAGTCCGAATCAGAATCCTTTGGTATGTCAACCTTGGGTGACCCAGGGGATTTTGTTTCCATCACTACTTGGCCCGGGGGAGCAGAAGCTCGCTTCAGCTCTCTGAAAAAGTTACAAAATTAACATATCTGGATAAGCCAGTAAAGAAGATTACATGTACATGTATGTACGGTATTACAAAATATTTGTCATTTACAAATGACATACATGTACATGTAGTAAAACCTTAAAATTTGACTGCTAATACACTTGTCTCCTGCTTTTCAAACAATAATTTTAAGATCTGATATTTATCTCATTATAAAAAGTTAAAAGAGACACAATTCAGCAAGCCATACACTTCAATAATCTGGACAATTTATTACAGGATATCTTAACCTCTGGATCAATTATGCATCTCTTTATTTAAACATGTAAGCTGTACAATTTTTTTTTACAATTTACTGTGATTCTGTACACCTTACCCTTCGATTGTTTGAGTTGGTCCCTCTACCACACTGCAGGCTTTCTCTCTGTTACACTCCATTGATGTGTCTGAATGTGCAGACACATTAGACAACAGACTCGCTCGCTTTTCACTGTCCTAGTAACAAAGTTATATATGATGTTGACTATTTTATAAAACAAAGGTAACTCGGATAAGTTTTCCTTTCTACATGGGTAATATTCAATGAGTAATTGATACTAAAATTAAGAAAAAATTATGCAAAAGCATCTTAATTTGATTGAAAAAATCTAATCACTACTCAGACAGAAAGTTGTGAAGCAATTCTTACCCTTCGTTTGGTTGGGAGGGGTGGGATAGCAGGACTGGTGGGGGCACTGCTGCTGAACGAGGAATCGGTACTAATGTCGGAGATGACACTGAAAGTGTTTGATCTTGGGTACATCTGGTGGTGAAGCTCCATCTGGTGTTGGTGCCACTGAGTCTCGTAGAAGTTGATAGAGTGCCTGGAGTAGTTACAATCAGGCACAGCCTCAGGCTGGGTGTAGTTTCCAATAGAGTGCATGTAGTCTTGTACTGAAAACAGTGATTCAAAATGATTCTTTTTTTCGGAGTTTTTTGATACTACAGATTCAAATTTATACTTCTTAGATATTAACAAATAAAATATGGTTCCAACTAGGTTGATTTTATCAAATTATCAAAAACTTGATTTTCAATTTATGAATAACATTTTATCCATTTCATGTAAAATCATATTTCAATCTATGAAAAAAGGTATTATGCAGAATGAATTTATAACAACTAAAAAACAAAAGTCCAGCCTTAGAAACCCAGTTTTCATACATACTATTGATTTGCAGTGTTGTATGCCACTTACTGTGTTTTTTCTTTGGTGGAAGAGGGGGTGGTCTCAAAGGTAAACTCTCCATACTGGAGTGACTGGCACTAGAGAAAGTCTCAGAACTGGAATACGATTCCTGAGAGCTAGTCTGCTGTACAAAGGAACTCGTCTTATGATAACCTGAATGTCCACTCCCAGTTGAAGAAGTAGAAGTCCTATGTTCTGTTGAACTGATCACACTACTGGTCTTACGATAAGAACTAGTGGTACTTGAAAATTGCACACATTGCCCATCTACATTGTCATACTGAGATGGTAGTCTGTTTACTTTTTTATTTGGTAAGGGAGGGGGCTGTAAATTTTCGACCCCATTCCGCCTTGTCATGGATGCTATGTCTGAGGTTAGTTGATCTATTTGTATAGTTAATTGGTTTATCTGGTTGACAGTTCCATCTGAAGCAGAGATGCCTTTGTTCATGCCATGGAAATGTTCTAATCGTCCTTCAGACATTGTCTTTGTGAAGCTGTTTGCTCTACTGGTCCTCATTGCTTCAGTCTCAGGTAAATCATCTGCAGAATGATTTAATCCTGACCCTAAACTACTAGCACTAGCTGATGAATTATCTAAATGTGACATACAATCTGAAGAATTAAACCCTAAACTTGTGGAAAGTTCACTTGACACATTACTGGGGAGAATCACACTGCTATTGGGGGAGTGGTCTGGTGTCTTGTGACTTGTCAATAAAACACTAGTGTGTGGTGATTGGTTAGGAGAGAACCCTGTCACTAGGAGACTATTATGAGGGGAATTGCCTGAAAAGACCATGCTGTTGTGTGGAGACTGGCTTGGGCTGGAGGTCAAACTGGACGTGGTGACACTGTTTCTGTTCGATGGACTCTGACACACATCTGACTGGCTTCCCAAACGATGGAGGGAGTTTGTCAGGGAATCTCTGTTTTCTTTCTGGGGAAGAGGAGGTGGTCCATCAAGATTATCTTGTTGAGAATGCTGGGACACAAGTCTGTCAACAGAGAAATAGAATGTCAGTGATGCATAATAGATAGCACAATGCTTAAAATATCTGCAGAGTGTATATCGATGAGGACACCAACTACATTGCATTTTTGTTCAGACAACATATCACAACTTTGATTTTTAAATACCGGTATTTGAAAACTTTCTAAACAGAAAATCTTACAGACCTAATAAATGGTCGCTACCCCGGTATTTGATAAATCTGGGAAAATCAACAATGTAGAACCTTCATTACCTGCGGACAACTTCTGGATCTTTTGGCAGTGGGGGTTTGGGTGGGGGAGGTAACTCTCCAAGATCAGGATGATCCCTCCGTAAGCTACATATACTGTCCTGAGAGCGAGAGGCAGGGAAGGTGGGGTTATCATACACACCAATCTCTCCTGTCTTATCCAGAATCTCCTTCTCTCGGGGTGTCAGTGGAAGATCTGGGAGTGAGGCTCGCTTGCTACTACAAAATACAACAGCATTAAGAGAATCTACAAAAAATATATTAAGAATAACAAGAATTTTAAAAAATATTTAAAAATGAATTTATTCATAGTAGGAAATGGATAATCATGAAAAAATGTCCAACACTAGGCACAATTTACAACAAAACTTGTAGATAAGTGTATAATATATCCATTATTTACCATTCTGGATGGTTTTTGAAGGCATCTGGGGACAACTGCTCTGCCACATCATTCTTCCTGTGCTGTAGTTTGGACACACCCACCTCTTTAAGCTCCTGTAAAAAATTCAATGAACACTCTTCAAAATGCTTCAATTTACAGTAAAAAAAGCAAATGCAAAGATACATAAAAATTTTGTACTTACCTGTACACCAGCCGACAAGGCAGAAATGATATCAAGAGCTGTGGATTTATTCACCTCCTTGTTGTCGTGTAAAAGAATGTCATCAGCCCATTGGATAAAGCAAGCCAGGCACTGGCATACTTTGTTCTGCCTAGACACTAGCACAGAACTGGAAAAGGGAAGGGGGTAGAATTTCATTTTTTTTAATTCAGTAAGTTTACAAAATCATCATTCATCAATTTATCATAAGACAAAGTGTATGCCTCCCACTTTAAAAATTAATGAATTTGAATGTTCTAAAGATATTAATCAATAATATCTTTTTTTTTCAATAAATGTTAATTCATCCCTTGTGATTTCATAATTGCCTTTTAAGATAACAAGCATACATTTAGATCAGTACAAAAAAGCTATTAAACATAAAATAATACAGTAGTTTACATGGGTTTCTAAATTCCATATTTCTCTTAACTCAGCATGCATTTAATTTCCTTTAATGGATCAGCCTCCCACTTGAGAACTTGCGGTCTTTGATATCAGGCCAATCAATTTACAGCGATCAATTTACATCAATTTTCAGTGTTCTCCATGTTGACTAAATCATTCCCATCTTTGGAGAAATTAGATCAATTTACAAGTAATCAAATAAGGGATCTTATTAGTTTTGCATTCCAGGCTGTCATTTATTCTCTGTGAAATTCAATGCATGTCACAGAATAATGTCATACACTTTCCTGAAAAATGAATGCAGCTCACAAATCCCTATTATTTTCCATTGAATCTCTTGAATATCTCATGATTAATCCAAAAATCAATTTTGTTCCTACAATAAATGATTTAATAAATCTATGATTGCGGAAAGTAAATGTATTCTGCAGATGTCCTCTACACTTGCATCTTCACAGAAAAAACCTGAATCAGTGATTCTACTCTTTACATGAACAACAAAATTTGCTCAGAATGGTTTCATGCAATACTTTGTAATCTATAACAAACCATGTTATCTCGAACTCAATGGGACTGAGAAAAAACTTTGAGATATCCAATGATTCTAGATATATAGGACAAAATACTTAAAGAATAAATGGTTGGGACTTCCAAATCACTTCATCATATCTATGGTATTCGATATATCTGTGTTCAAGATACCAAAAGTTCAACTGTAATTACAGTACAAATGTACCATAGAATGGCTACCTTCTGCATTACAAAACTTCTGCAATTCCTCAAGGACTGCATTTGTAGTTTGTTTTTTCCAATTCTCACTGATCAGCAATACACAAGATATAAAATTATAATATTTTGGAAAGGGGGGGAGGGGGAGGGGGGGGAGTTGGCAATTATTTTGATTAAACCATGTAATTCCACAAAAATCTGACTACCTGTAAAAATTACCTGTGCACAGTATGTATTCTAGTTTTAGTCTTTTCTATTATGTACCTGTCTTGTGCATTGAAGAAGTTGTTGAGCAGATTGAAGACATCCATAACATTCTCTAGGATGACTGTGGCAGTGTTGGGGATAACCTGAGGCTTCTGGTACTGCACCACGGCTTTGATGTACGCCAGGGAGCGGTTAACTTTCTCCACCTCAGCCTGAAGCTTATCCACATCCTAAAAAAATTAACTTGTACTTTAGACTAGTATTCACCAGACTGCATCTTACAAATACATGAGCATTACATCTGCACTGCACAGTCTCCATTATCCACACACTCCAGTAGAACCTAATCATACACTGTATTACTAAACTTCTTAACAACAATCTGCTCTAATACTATTCAGAAACCTGCTGTACTCTAGAATACAAGATACCCATGTATCTCATAAAATCTCCTCAAATAGGCAAATATCGATAAAATAAGAAATACCAACCGAAAAAATTGACCATACAGTATACATCAAACAAAACCCAGTTTTTGCAAAGGAATGATTATATTTTTATCTACTTCAAGAAAGAATGACTGGAGAAAAAATTATAGGTGATTTTCACTCATTTTTCATTTATAAAGAAAAATTATACAAACTAGTGAAAAAAATAAGAAGGAGAAAAAAATATTGTGTGTACTTGCCCTATCAGCCATTAATGATGATAAAGAAGAGTGTTGAGTTGAGTGATTGACATAAGTAACGTATGACAGTGATCAGAAGTCATGTCGCATGAGCTGTATACTGACTGTCATTACATCATTAATCACAGACTGACCCCATAATACATTGGACACACTAAACATAACACAGCCAGCCTGTACATATACTCTATAACCGGACATTGAACAGAATAAAAAAAAAGGGGGCGTATTCCCCTCCCCCTCTCCACTAGTGTGTTTAAATTTTTTTTTTATTCACACCTTTGATAAAATGATAAAATCTGTGAAAATTGGTTTGAGCCCCCCCCCCCCCCCCCTTTGACCTTATCTTCAGATTTGCTACTATAGGTCTGTTTTGTATTGGATGAAATATCGCTTCCCTATAAAGTTTTCTTTACATTATATCATTAAATCTTGTTAAAAAAAAAAATAATACCCAGAATACTGTAACTTCAAAGGAAATGATGAAGCAATATGATTTGATGTAACTGAATAAGCGGGGATTTCCTTTCCTTCTGTTTCTTTCCAAAAACTTATATACTTCCTACATGAATTATATTTGGACAAGATTTCTCCAATCACCTTCTTCCTTGTTTAGCGTGTGGAGTAATGCACTTATTTTATCACTATACCCACACACGTCAGGTGACTGATTTCCAATTACAGGTCCAGATTGTGTTAAATCGAAGCATCCTGGAGTCAAACTCTCTCCAATTCTATCCCAGACATGACCTTAATGCATCCCTAAATATCAACTGCATATAGCTGCAATTTCATTCATGGAGGCCTATGTTAAATGAAAGAGTGGTTATTTTGGGGAAATATTGGATTGTGTTTTGTATTTTATACAATAGAGCCATTAAGACTTGATCAGTCATTACGACAGCAGACTTGTGCTCTAAATTGGCCTGAAAGCAGCTATATTTGCCACAAGCCTAATAACATTCATTTCCACAATGGATCAACATAGACGTTATGGATGCAACAAAACTTGCCATTCCAATTACCATGTATGAAAATAAGCCATAAAAAATTCCTTTTTAAACTAAAAATGGACATATGAATAAATGTCTAATTGTTACGATAATCAGCATTAAAAAGGAAATCACTGAAGTAAAAATCCAAAGCAAATAGAGACAAAGTAAGAATCAATGCACAGAGGGGGCACAGTTATAGCTACACCATTAGAAAGGCAGGCACCAAGGTTCACCTGTAATTGTGACTCATTCATAGCTAATTAAACATGGCAGGGATGGTGCAGGTGACATGGTCATATTAATCTATCAATATTGCTTTGGCATCAACAAACAATAATGCTATATTTGTCAATAATCGGTTACAATAAAATACCCTCTGGGAATGGAGTAATGAGATTCTAAGTTCTAAGTTTCTAACATGGTTACTTCTTCATATTTTTAAGCCTAGTATGTCGAGGTTGAAAAATTTATTTTTAAAAATTAAAACAATCACTGTCTGTGTTTTCCAGCTTTAAATCGTTGATTTTCCACTTAAATTTTCATCAAATGATCAAAACTACTGAAATTTAAGATTAAAGATACCGGTATACATCTATTACATTAAGTAAACATTAATGATCTATCTGGAAATAATGAAATTTTCAGATGGTTTCTTTAAAATTAATCTAAGAAAAATTCATTCCAATAATGAGCAGTAAACTTTCTTCCTTTCCTCATTAAATTGGGAGCATCTTTAAGGAAAGGAGAAAATGAAAATCAGGAAAATGATGAGCTAATGTTTATACAAGTGATCAAGCAGGTAATGAGGGACTAGTAATTGAGAGGTCAAAAGTTCAGAGGGGGGAAATCTTCACACCATCTGGGATCAGTTTCCTGATTAGTATAGCACTTGATCCACCACCATCACTGTCTTATCATCTTTACACCTTCACCCTGTCTGCCTCAAGCCAATCTCTGACATTAAAACATTAACTGGGCCCTCCGGAGGTCATTTTCTTGTTACAGGTACCATATGTAAAGTCTTAATCTGGGTATGAGTTAACACAGAATTACTGAAGAATTAATTATCTGTCTAAAGCAGCAGTCAGGGAGATAGGGTAAGGTCCTGACAGGTCATTTTACATTAGGCCACAGTAGCTCCCAGAGGGTCGTAATGTCTGCATGAGTCAAAAAGTAATTAACATTTCTTGAAGCTATATTCATTCTTCAGAAAAAAAGTAATAGATACAAGTGTAAAAAAAAAAAAATCAGTAGATACATATTTTAACATCGTAACCACTTCACATTTATCATATCTTGCAAAGGAGGATTTTTTTTTATTATTATCTAAAAACATCAATAATTTGAAGCATATCCAACAGACACTGGTGAATGCCGGCACAATATTGGTTTTGGAAGCCTCAAAGATAATCATAATACCAGTGAGTCATTGAACTCAAAGATCTGTGTTTAGGGGATGAATTTTGGATTAATATATTTCCCTGTGACATATGTGATCATTCTCAAGATAATCAATTGATGTCCATTAATGATATTTTAACTCAGCATATGTTGACCCTATTGACACATTACATTAATGAAAGGGGGGAAGCCCCTCATGTTTTGTGTCTAGCGACCTCTGCACAGATAAAAACTCTCCACTTCAGGAGATCTCAGAGAGGACAAAGGGTAAATCGGCCATAAGAAGTCTGATTCAAACAAATCACTATTGTGGTTTGAGTTTGAGTGTCAGAGCCTCAACAAACAACTTACAATCACATTAAGATATCCTCATATATTGTACATTTTCTTCAATAAATTTTACTGTAAAAATGCTAGTACACTGTACATGTATCAAAGTACTTTGTCCAATTGTAAGATCATCTCAGGAATCAGTTAAAAGTACCAGCATCCTTCTCAGCCTCAAAAATCATCAATTCTATATATGTAGTCATCTATACTTTTGGTTTTGAAGTTGAAATTTGCCCCCCCCCCCCCCCCCCCCCACCACCAAATTTCTTTTTCTTACAACCAAAGACCTTTTCCTCATCTCTATCTGAAGATCACTTCTGATTAATATTTTCTTTTCAAATGTAGCACTATTTTTTATCAATCCAAAATGTATCTCTATAATTATATGATTGAATAATTCCTACCTCTTTGAAAGGCTAAGATCCAACATTGTAGAAATCATACTAAGTTATGTTCACCTGCATGAGACCTTCCAGGCTAACATAACATTAATTGTTTTTCTACATTTGACCAAAACAGATCGAGAACTTCCAAATTGATACATTAATGATGAAAAGTTATGCTCACCTGCACCCAACCTTCTAGGTGAACATAATGTTATATTATTTTTTGGACATTGGGTCAAACTTCTAAATTGATACAATTGGTTATGAAGTTATTTCACCTGCATCCGACTTTCATGTGAACATAATATTTATTTTTTTTATCTGACCAAAATAGATCAATGAATTCCAAATTATGTGTGTTTTAATCCTATTCTCTCACTGCATAAGGCTAGGACTTAAACAAATGTAAATAATCAAGGAGTCAAGTTTTGCTATAAAGAGTTTGTATCATTTCATCATTGAATAATATAATAAAACAATTACTACCATTTTTATTCAGTCAATACAATGATTAAACAACCATCAAAGTACAATATTCACCTCGCCCTTCAGGCTCGGTGAACACTGTACTGCTCGAATGGCTAAATCATGGTATTGACCTCAAAAACAGCAATAACTGTATACTTTTTATTCTCCCATATTTACCACCCAAATTCTTATGGTCATTTACATACTACACCTCTTATATAACACAGCTCAAATACACAATATGATACAAGCATTGGTACATATATATGTGTAACCACCCCTCTCTCAAATATCTTTCAAATCATATGGAGTGTTAGTGCACTGAACTCATTCTTCCCACCACCTCCCATATAGAACTTAAGTAACCACAGCCCTAAATAGTTTTATAATGAAATTTGAATCCAAAGTTCACAAGTGCTACATCACACACTTGACCTGTATTGCATAGGTTGTGAACACTTATTTATACGTCTAGAAAAATGGATGACCGTGATTTAACAAAATTTTCGTTCAGTAAATTTTCACCACGAAGCATCAACAAAAAGAACACATCCCCAAAGCGAAGAAAAATTCAAGTAAATCATCATGAGCATGTTTCAATTATAAGGAGAGTAAACATTCAACATGCAGTGCGTTAACGCCAAGAGACATCCAACTAAAAATCCTATGTGTTACAGAACAATAGACAGATTCTGACATGTTTCTGGTCTTAATTAGTGCTGATTTAATTGAACAGTGAGTCAGTTAGTGAAGCAATCAGATAATTAGATCGCAGTCCTTCTAAGAATGACTAATTCCCTCATCCCCCACGCCTGACAAAGGATTTGTCTTCTGAAGAAGACAGTCATTGCTAAATTCAGCCTCATCAGCTGCCTCTGAAGTTATTACGCCATCCTAGACTTGGTTTTGAGTTACTCAACACTGTTATAACAGATGCAATTTTCCCAACATCCACAATTCACATCATATAATTAATAAGATGCATAAACATAAATTAATTTACAACTTAACCCTAAATTATTTAAGACCATTATAAAATACCCCAGCATAACTGACATCAATAAAACTCAGTGTGTTCATAAAAACTAATTCAGATTTAAATTTTGCACTTTGAATTATCTGTCATGTGATATAACCATCAGACCACTTTAAAGTTATTTTGTTACACACATTTTTTCTTCTTCCATATTTGATCAAAATTTTTCTCATAAAATAAATGTCAGACTGAACAAAAATCAGATCTGCAACCTTTGATGATCAAGTTATTTCTCTGATCACTGATGCAAGACGGCACATGTGCGCAATAAACATTACTCCAGGTGCAAGAAGCAAGCTACTACAACAAAGACAGCAGTCAACTAAACTGTTACACTGAAAAAATTGATCTTTGACCAAAATGTTGTTTTTTTTTAATTTAGTTTTTACTTTCAAGCATTCCAACATAAACTATTTCAGAGACCAAAACAAGTCCAAAGAAAGTGAGAAAGACACGACAAAATGTAGAAATATATAGCCCATTAATACATGGTAGTACAAAATTTTTAACAATGTTGTTCTTTTTTTTATCAATAAAGTGGATTGCCCAAGTTGCCTTTAAAACATACAATGCTATTTTATAGACTCTATCTGTAACAATAATGCTATGGCCTTTCAAGATCAAGGGGTAGTTAGTCGCAGAGGGCTCATTTGACTAATGCACCAACCTCTTTTTTTCTGCCAAAGAATATTGTCATGAATTACTTGTTGCACTGTAACTAATCTGGGTATTCTTTTTATGCCTTTAGGGAATGTCAGGATTGATTCAGTCCTCCTACCCACAAACTTTTGTTTCCTATTGATTTCAGATAAATTTGCAATCCTCTATATCATTCACAGACATTGTAAAACATTTTACTTGCTTCAGCAGAAATCTTTCTGCCAGAGAGCATTTTCATCAAGATGTAATATCAGTCTGAAATGTACACAAATGGTCAATCAATTCACCATGTATTTTTTGGTACAGAGTCAGACAAGATTTGTCCAGAACAGTCCAATTCATTTTTTTCCCCTCATAACAAACACTAACTAAACATAAAACCAGAGAAACAACAAAGCATCTCCTTGAAATCTTGCACAAGATTGAATTTCTAAGATGTAGCCATTACAAAGATTGTGATGGATATATAAACAGGCACTTACTCTCAGCAGGAAACCTATCTAATCAGCCATCAGCAAGTCCTAACTTCTTCATCAACTCCATTAGCTTTTAATACTAACCAACAGAAGAATCTGAATTTCTTACAACATCTTATGTAACTTTGTTTATTTTCTCCTTAATAATCTACTTGTCTTATTTCTGACCAATGTGTGATTGTAACATAACAACTTAAGCTAAACTGTATGAAAATGATTGAGATATTGTTTGAACCTTAATTCTTTATACTACAGTTATATTCCAAATTTAAGGAGTCCCAGTAAAATAGTTTTTCACTAAAAATTCAATATATGACTACCAAAAACAAAATTTGTACTGAAACCACATTTCAGTTTCTAGAAAGATAGAAAAAATCTTTTTATTATTTTCCATCATCAAAGCAAAACTGCACATTGTTTACAGAGTACTGTTTTCACTCCTTTTCAGTGTAAATTGTGGTGATCCGTTCAGCCTGAATGTTGCACCACACCAGACAAGCGGATGATGACTACAGCTTATAAGAAATACATCTTCAATGAATCATGCATCCTGTTGTATTAAGAAAACAACTGATCAAAAAGCCAGGTTGCCGATTTAATAAATGTAATTTACAGGTTCAGATACTGAGGTAACGTAATCGTAATCAGGGTTTGTATGTTGTACCAGATTGAGAGGGACTCAGAATTTGACAGCTGTTGAGTCCAATTACCCACACATGAAAAAAGGAAAATGTACCCTTTGATCTGAGAAGCAAACTTATTGAGGAAAAGGAAATGCAGACAAATGATCATCACTACATTTCCTAAATAGCCGAATTTAAAATAAAAATATTTCCTGAAAAGCCCCATTTACAAAGAATCCTGTTACTCAAGAATGATGTTGTTTTGTCTACATTTAATTCACTTTGTCATGCCGATTCTAATTTTAGACACCTCTGCCACATTAACAATAAATAGACTGCAACTTCCTTAATCAATTAAATTATTTATAGTAAAGGTAAACATAAGTAAAACTTAGAAGATTTGGATGAATGATGGATCAATAAATCCCAGACACTTTACCTGGATAGGAGCCTCAGCTTTCAGCTTCTTCTTTTTGCCCAAAGTACTGCTTTTTCCCATCATAAAACTTGTACTGCCTGTTTAACCACTATTTACAAACATTATATATTAAGGTTAAAATCCCATATCCATTAACAGTAACACAAGTGGTTCTCTCTTTTTCACTCAAGTACACAAAAACCAATATTTCACCAAACACCTAATTCTCTTGGGAATCATTCAACCACTGACAATAAAGATGAGGTAAGAATTTTTTCCCCTCCTTCCAATCTGAATTCTAAATCTCCAGTTCACAAGTCAGTCTCTGTTTTTCACAGGTCAAAAAAAATGGAGTGTAAAAGATCAAATAAAATCCTTATCCCACAGCCATCCGACATGTGTGATTCACTCAATATTATTCAGTCAATCAAACTGCTTAGCATCTGGGTGAGTGGGATGCTGTGTTAGCCCCAACGTCTTCTGGATCCAATACATATATATAGATGATCAGACAACAACAGGCTCACTTAGCAGAGAGGAATCCTCGACTGGGAAATAAAAAAAAAACCTGTCTGCTGTTTGCAGTAGCTTCCTCTATTCCTAACTTTTGGCACCTTAGGGGGAAGTAACCAGGTGAATCGACTCCCCCCCTCAAAAAAACACAATCCACACTGTGTCTCTCTGAGATCAATACAGAATTTACAACAGTGTTAATAAGGCCAACTGTTCCATTTACAAGTGCAGCAAATTAAATCTGCCTATAAATGGAAATCCAATATTCATTATATTTTTTTAACACATAAAATGTATCCTTTAACCTTGGGTGAAGAATGATAAAATTTTGCACACTTTGCGTGTCAAGTGGACCCTGTGCTTGTGACAGGAAGAGGGAAGTCATGCATAATTTCTTGAAATAATAAACATTCCACCATTGATAGGCATTAACTCAGACTGCCATTTCACAGAATTATATTTTACATATTGCTTTATAATGTCACCATGATGAATTGGTCCTAGAAGCCTGACTACTTGTTTACATTTTACATGATTTTTTTATATAGCTATTTGAGACAGCTGTCTGACGCAGGGTCACAGGAAAAGCCTTATGCTGTGATATTTTTCCACTTAGGAAAAGCCAGTGGAGTACCACAGGAAATAGTGAGAATCATCAAGATTTATTGTTTATCAGTTCAAAAGTCAGTGTGACTAGATGTAATGTCTTCCCTTCATTTTTTTTATAAAGATCGACAGACACTTTTCCAAGTCAAAATATGGGTCTATTACAAGATTTTGTGTAAAATATTTGTTAACTAATAGCAAATAAATATTTAACTTCAAATGGAAAATAAAAATCTGCATACACTAGCTTATACTGACACCTTAAACACAAAGAAAAAATCTAAGGAATACATACACTGAGCATCAATTTTCAGTAAATTAATTATAAATGCAACTATTTAAAGGTTCCAAACAATGCTTGCTTTGACCTTGGATTGACCTTGAACTCCATGTTTCTCTCTATGTGATATGTGTATTCCCATTAAACATTTAATTATGACATAATGTGTTATTTTGGCTATTTATTTTCCTCTGTCCCTCTTGGAACTTAAACCCCTCTCCCTATCCCCAGAATGCAATTTCAAACAATCAATCTTCTAAGGATGTGAAATTAATATATATACCTATAAACAAGAACAGAAAGAAAACTGCTCACCTACAATGAGTGAAACAGATTTCTTAAAAATTTATGTGCAAAATAATAATAAAGGAATTCAAAGCTGTAAACAGTAAAAATAATGGAGTAAAATTTTGACTTCAGACAGACAGACAGACAAAGAAACTTTCAAACACTGATTGCACTGACTTGTCATGCAACATACACTGAATAGTCTGCTTTAATAGAAATTATCAAAAATAAAGTAATATTTCCTCCCAGTAATAAAATAGTGTTAACACATATGACACTGAAGTCATCCAAAAAAAGCGTGTCCTATGATTATCATCACTTAGCCAGACAGTCATATGCTGAACTGTGGTGACTAGATGTAACTATACCATTGTTTCAACAGGTCAAGGACAACAGGAACTAATACAATACAAAGCACTGCATACTGGCATGTGTATCAAGTTTTGTTCATAGAAATTTGTAGACTAAATAAATATTTTTCAAGGGATGTAAAGCTCTTTACAGCAATAGACAGTTTGTACTGAATTAGCAAAGCAAAAAAGAATAAATCTCAACAAGACGTCCATGGACCACAGAGCTCACCTGAGTCCAGAAATTGTGTGTTGTCATTGTTACTTAAATCAAGTAAATCAAAGTCATATTCCGATAAATATTCAATAAATATAAACTGCATTTATCTAGGACCATTTAACACAAAGCTTTGCCCTGATTTAAGATTTAACATAAGTCATAATAGAGGAGAAGAAAAAGATATCTCACTCTGAAACAAGCAAACCATCTTAGAATTCATATCATTTAATTAAAATGGCAAAACTCTCCACTACTACTAAAAAGATATATGTGACCAAATATGATACACTTAAGAGGACACTTATTACTCTGTAGTAAGAGGTAATAACCATCAAAGTTTGATGGCTCCAAAAAGTTACTCTTCTAGACCCTTAGAAAAAACATTTATGGCCAACTTTTGAGACTTATGAAGGCAGTCATTCTGGAGAAAAAAGTTTGGGTAAGAAAAATTCAAAAATTCCTTCAAATAAACATAGATTCGAACTTTCGTACAGACAAAATTTTGATCAGAAGAGCTTGTTTTCAATTCAGGTGAGCTAAAAAGCTATTTAAGCCAGATAATGATCCAGAATTTTGACACAGTGCATTACTCACTTTGTTTTTAGTTTTGAGACTGTCCTTTTCTTTATTCTGAAATACAATTACTCAAACATAAACCACATGCATATTTGTAATCAAAATCAATTATCAATACTTGTCAGTGTGCTAATCAAAGTGACCTACTTAAAAAAGTACATACAGACCACCAAATCTACTTAATCAAATGTAATCAATACATTACTTTCTACCCTGCTTTCTAAGTTAAAACACAATCAAAATCTTTTATGTGGGTTTGTGTGCAATTTCAAAAGAAAAGGGTTGTAAAACATGCTAGGTTTATTTTGCACTAGGCTATTAATCTCCTAAAAAAAGTACAAAGACTAGACTGCCACAAAAAAAAACATGGCAATCAAGTGACATGCAGACGATGACACAACATTATTGTGAAACTGATAACTGTGATCCCCTGGATGTGCAATTACAGCAATCAAACTGTTAGAAACTATCATCACCGTCAAGTTTTCGTCATTCTTCGACCATGATTAAGACGAACCACAATTGTAAACTGATACATGTGATTCCATGAGTTCAGTATTTTCTCTTGATGCACAGATATCATAAAATGAAGTTCTGAATATTATGGAGTGCAATTGGTTATCAGAATGCCAAAAGATACAAATGCATGAATTTTTCATGAAAAGTTTTTCAGTGTGCATTTATAGATTTTTCATAAACAGGGAAAAATTTTTTCTAAGATATACATGAAATACCATTATTTTCTGACACAGTGGACCTTGGATGTACGAGAAACTGTATTAGAGACAAGCTTAATCCCTAATCTCCACCTATGATAAAGAACTAATTTGCAAACACACAGCAGATTTAAGAGTAAACTTTTTAAATATTTGATGTCTCTGTGCAAATTTTATTGCATTGCAGAAGGTACTTGTCTGATTACATCACAAAAAACATACCATCATATCACAAATGCAGAATCAAATGTCAGTCATAATTTACCATTTGCTTTTTGAATTCACAAGCTCAATGTTTTCAAACTTTTTAGTTAATAAACTTTCAACAAAGTTTATTTATACCTATGGGATCTTTTCATTTTCATTTTTTTTTTTATCAATTCCTCTCTGAATCTGTTTCTCCCCTAAATCAGGTAATTTAAAATTTTAGATTCTAAAAACAAACATTTACTGGCATGTATATCTAATACTTCATGTGTTATACCTCTCCAGCTTTACATTATTCTTTGTATTTTAATCAAAAAATTATGTAGAGTAAAGAAAACACACATTTTTTTTTTCTATAATCAAATAATATTAGCTATTTATAAATGCTCTGCACTATAACAACACCATCGCTACTCCTTGATCACCTATAAACAAAGACACCTACCCGGTATATTCACGGACCAACTGACACCCTTATTAACACACAATACCTACTTTGTCTGTGAGTGCTGGGTTTTCCGTTGGGGTGTCCACTGGCATGGAGTAAGACTTGCTGTGTCGGTACTTGGCCTCCGTGATGGCCGACTCATGCTGGGATGCGGAAGATCGACGACGTAGGTATCCCTTCACATCATCCCTGAAGGACCTTGCCTTCTTTAGCATCTTAGCCCCGGGGCTCTTTTCTACCAAAAAAAGAAATGCACAATTACATGACCTGCAGGACTTTAATATGTCTACAATCCTTTACAGTTGGCTGTATAGGCACCAAAACTGACATTTACTAGGTACCTTCGCCAGATCAATCATGAATTATGGATACAATACAGTTGCTGATTGCTGGGAAGGTATGAAATACATTCAGCGTACTGGTGTCTTTCAGGACAATAAACCCTGCTTCATAAAATCTGAAAATCCATTGCTACATCAACAGCCAGAACAGGAAACAAAATGTTAGCAAGATATAATGTTAAAACAACCAATTGGGCTCTTTTTTTTTCCAGAGAAGGTATAAAAAGTTTCATTAGCATAGGACCCTTGAGTTATCCCTGATTATCTATCCATCTTCAGATATAACCTGTCTACTAATAATAAATGGATGTAAAACTTTACTTTTCTCTTGTTTAATTTAAACTTTCAAGATGCTGATCAAATGATGAAAAAGAGTGCAGGAGAAAATTAAAGTTGATATGGCTTAATACGATACCATCATACAAGGTTTGCATGTTTTCATCCACTGCAAATACAATCTAACTTCCATCACAACTTTCTTTCATCTTTATCTTTGTTACATGTGGGGCCCATCTCAAAAGCCACACTGACTTCTAATTTCCTAACCCCAGGGGCTAGCAAATTCTCTTGGGTGTAAACCCATCTTCATTCATCACTCATTTTACTAAAGTTTAGTAATGCTTCAATCTTGTGGAGAAAAAAAAAAATAAACAAACTCTGCCGATTAAATAATTCGCATATATGATGACACGACCTTAAGGAATGCCAAGCTATAAAAGGCCATTAGAGAAAATATATCTCACACTCTCAGTGCAAACAATTTACAAAGCTCAGGTAAAATTCAAGTCACAAGGTGCAAATATTTACATGTGTTTTCCATTTTTATTATTTTAGGACAAGTTCTAGGTATTTTTTTATTTTTGTTTACTTCCTCTTCAACTTCATGAAACCATATCAAAACTCGTATATATCCCATCACTATAAAATGC